TGCGCCTAGAGCTCCAGTTTTTGGAAATGGTTCGAATGCAATAACGTATGTCGCGTATAGACATGAGATGGTGTCTAGAGAGCTTTCTTTTGCGCTCTCTCCGACTAGATTCCTGCTTAAGAATGCGGCGTACTGTTCTTCGAGGGATATGGGTCTCTGAGACAATCTCGCGTTGCGACTTTCCCTGGCGCTGTAGGGATCGAATGACTGCACGTGCAGGGGTAGGCCATTCATTATTCTCTTTCTCGATAGGATCACTTAGGATAAGAGGTGTCTCCATCTTGAATTATGGACTGATTCCTAAGAGAATTGTTGTGTAGTAAGGGTTTTAAAATGGGGTGTAGAATTTTTACGCGTTACCGCGTCTCGCTTAAGTGGGCCATTCCCGGTGGCCTCAGCTCTTACCAAAAGTCATTACGTCTCACAGATCATTGTGAATGTGTCAAGCTGTAGAACCAATTACTTGTGTCATCCTGAGCCGGCGATTCACAAGACTGGCTTAGCTGGACTTTATGAATAGTCTTAATGGTTTGAAATCTGGCAGTTGGCTGCGATTTAAAGGCACATTTGTTTAGGACAAATCCATTGACTACCAAATCATGTAATAATTTATGACAAGGGTGCAGTATTTCTGTGACAAGTGGTTGCCATGAGAATATACATCTCCATCCTGGCCCTCGCAAATGTTTACCCCAACTCCAGTGTGAAAGGTTTCTCTGATGAACCTAGTGACAACCCGGATTCTTTTGGCGGCTCATCCTCCCATCGAAAACAATCTCCAATCCCTTATATTATCAAAACACCTCATATTATCAAAACATAGTACTCTGTCCAGACGTCTGAAAGAGCAGGAGCTCCAAGCTCACTAGTCCAACATCTCTGTTGACATCCTATGTTTTCTCCTACTTCTCTTGGCCCTTGATCGTCACGTATCTGAATCGAGGCGGTACCCACAATCCATTCGCGTATTTCTGCAAGGCATTGTCTGTCTCCCTTGGCACGCCTATGATTCCATAAGTTAGTCTCCAACAACAACAACTGGGACAAATTGATGACATACTCGCAGTGATGCGGTCTACTGACAAATTCCTGTCAAGAATAGCTTGCATATACTCTGAGATCAAGAACACAATGGTTCTCCACGAACATTCACCAACGGCTTTTCCTCTCCGAGCTATAAGAAAGGCTTGAAGGTTGCGGCACCTCAGTTCTTCTGGACAACCCCGAGGGCTTCCAAAAGCTACATTTTCAACTGACTCATCGATATCTCCCAAAACAATTGATACTACTTTCACTCCAGTGATCGCGAGCACGTTGAACATGCCTTGAATCACACGGTCATCATTCGCATGGAGAAGCAACTCATGGCAGAATTTCCAATCAAGAGCAAGATGTTTGAACTTTGGTGTCTTTCTCCACATTTTGCGCGCCTTGCCTTGAAAGACTCGATTGAAGTCTCTGTTGAGGAGTAGCATTGTGTCAATGTCGGGCTGCATGTAGAGTCTAGGTAATCTTGTCTCTGGATCGGTGAAACAAGTGTAAACCTCCAAAGCGACCTTTCGAGGCTCCTTGCTAACTGAGAGCATAGGTGGTAGTGCGCTGGGAGCGTAGACCGTATCGGAGGATTCTGGGCCTGATCTTGGGGCGATCTTTGCAGTAACGACGCGGGGTGCTTTTGCTGCTACGCGCCAAATGGCGTCTCGCATCTCGGGCGGTAGTTTGTTGAAGCATTGAAAGGTTTTTCCATACTCCTCGGTTGTATCATCGCGTGGGACTTCAGATTGTGTTGTAATGGTCGATGCGGGTGTTGCTGGATTAGGAGTTTGAAATTGCAGTGTCAATCTCTCCTGGCGCAAATTTACAACTTCATGGCGAAGCGCATCGATTGAAGTGACTAAGGATTGTAGTATGTCAACCGGGATCTGAACCATGGAGCCAGAGGATGATTGAGTCATTGTGGAAGGGAGATTGAAGATTGAGGTACGGATTGTTGTTATGGGAGTGTTAATATCGAGTAGCAAGAGTTCGGATTATTGCGGGTTGAATATACCTATGTCCCAAGAGTCCGAAATCTTGCGCTAAGAGGCACGAGTAATTAAGGAGAAGGCTGAACGTTGCTGGTTTGCAATTAAGCTAGGCACGGGATTACGCTTATATGAAGTGTCTAGAGAACTGCTAAAACCAAGGAGTCACACGGATTGGGAAGATTAGAACAAATACTCTTACTAGTCGGGTCTTGCACATTCAATGATGCACATTCGTCACGTTCAAGGAGAAGTGAAAGATGTTATAAGTACTCATTTGTATTGGAAGCATAGCCGTAGCTCCTGAACTTGCGTATAGTCCGTCAAGGAGAGGTAATCAAAATTGTTCATGAAGCGGCCGCTAGTCTCTTTGCATACCAATTGCTGAAAAGTTGGGTCAGTCTTCTAACCTCTCGAGGCAGCTTTAAAAACAGAGGAAATCCAACGTCATTGTTCTCAGCTAAAGCTCTGAAGTCTGTCTCTGCCAACGCAAGGTCAGTTTTTCAATCGTGGTTGCGTTCTTTGAGATCCAGAATATCCTTTTCGACCAGTGTGGCTACTTTCTTGAGGTCTTCAAACGATATGAGCAGGTTGCTAAGAAGCTCAGCCGAAACTTCAATGGTTGCGTCACTGCCAGCCTTGTGTTGTGAGGAGACTTGGAGATCGGAACGGACGAGTTTTTCGACGTCATCTTGGTCGGTGAGAACTGGAGTCAATCAAATGTTTGCAATGCTCTTTGATGCATTCTCTTTGTTGTCGGTAAGATGAGGGGGATGGTCGAGTCGCTGAACTTCAGATTCTGCAGGTTCAGACTTACTGGGAAGTTTCGCCGACTTGTATGTTGCAGTGGCTGATGAAATTGGCTTGGAGGTATTCGCACCCATGATTGCCAATGTGTTTCGGCAGCAAAGGTGTTGGATTTCCTCAAAGGTGGTGTTGTTGTTTAGATTGCTGAGAAGAACATTTTTATTTCACGGATTTCAGTAGGGGCGGTCAAGAAGTGTTTGTATAGTGAGCTGAATTCGAGGCTATACAATTCTGCCTTCCACTGGCGAAAGCGGCTAGCGTCAAACAATAGCTTGTTTTGGCCGAGGCTCCCATGAAAACTCTCTTAGACAACATATAATATCCAACAGAAACAGTTCTATTAACAAGAGTTGGCTTATTGATGACAAGAGTATTTTCTTGAGTAGTTATATTTATTCTCAAATCAGGTTGTTTGCGCCGTGTCTTGTTTCTGATAGCTCATAGTCATTTGATTGTCGGATCAGTGGACTGTTTTCAAGCAAAGTCTCAAAAGCATCGCTTTCGACTTCAGCAAAGACGCCTTGACCAAGCTTCGCTTCTGACAAAAAATCGCACAAGATAGCTAATCAATGTAGAACAACGTCGATGTCCATGTTTGGAAAGCTGTGCAGGTCCACATCAGCGTTTGACAAGATGATAGTCGCTCCGGGTACGAGTATGATGCTAAGTGTACAGGGCATATTACCTGGAAGGTATCTGTTTCCTTACTACACTAAGTTGGATTATTGCTGACAAGAACAGGTGATGCTACTATGGAAGGAGGTGCTTGAGACTGGACTCCAATACGAAAGCGTTCGGATGTGGCAGACTGGCAAACCCTTGCGATTTGATCCGTGGAGGAGAAATTTGTGGATAGTCGTAAGATTCCCATTGCCGATTCCTTCGAGAATGTCCTGAGTTCCATGGTACATCTTTAGTCGTGCTTTCTGTGGTGGTTTCTCCAGAACGTAGTGTCTCACGACTTGGTCAGGGAAGGTCCTCAAACTTCGTTGCAATTCGACAGGTCGGTGACCGAGCTCACTGGACCGCTGCAAGCTTTGTGGGTGGAGAAGGTTTCTGTTCCACAATGCAAGCTTAAAATGACTTCAATGGCAAGGACTCGTTCCAAGGTACCCAAGTCTGATCCTGATAATTCCTCATACACTTGACAAGCTCTGGCGGGTTCTCATTCCATTCAATCTGCTGCCCTTCTCTCTCCTTATCCGTCCAATCCGACGTGAAGCCTATCAACGCCTTTATCTTCCGCATATCATCGTCACTGTATATGATGCTGACTGATGGAACAACAGCAATCTTTCCATAGCCATGATACCACATATCTTTGCAGAACAATTTCGGCTCTCCTTGATAACACTCCACTTCTCCGGAGCGCCGAAACTTTATCTTCTTCAGCACTTCACCCGCGAACACAACAGCACCATTCCAGCAGGAAAATACTTGAATGGGCTGCCGATTATTGAGCCGACTCTGAGCCATAGGGTCGTTCCAAAAGAGGTTCCAAGCTGAATCCCAATTCCCATCCTCGGGAATGTCGAAGAAGGAATCTCCAGTCATGCCTCGCGCGATCCACACATCGTAGAACGTGGGATCATTTCCGACATACGTCCAGTCCATAGCGCAAGTCATGTCGGCTTTCTGCTGAACACGCTGATGGATCAGCTCAAGAATGTCTTCTGAGCAAATAGCGACGTCGTTCAGGAAGACAACCGTAGTTTTGTCTAGGTTAGAGGATCCCATGAGTGGCTCGAGAGCTAGGTTGCGAAATTTTGCTAGGATTTCAATACGACCGCCCACTTTCGAGTCGAGGCCGCTGGAAACAAATGAGTACGAAGCTCCTAACTGTTCGATTGTCGAACGAAGCAGCTTCAGTATTTCGAAAGTTCCGTCGGTCGAGTGTCCCTCAACAATAGACAAGGTGCATTTTTCTGGACCCAGGAAGTTCATCACTTCCACGATCGAGCCGAGTAAGGGGGGTATAATGCTTGCACTTTGGTGCAGATCAAGCGCAAAGAAGTACTTGATATCGGGGTATCCGAAACGCCGGGAAGATAATCGTACCTCCCAGCTTTGAGTTTGGGACACTCTGCTTGCGAGAAAGACTCGTCATTCGGATTCATGATGGCGTTGATGTACGACGGAGCGAGTGCAAGCAAAGTGGCGTTCCCATCTTACAGCAACAAATAAGCGTTCAAACATTTGCAGGACAGCAGTCGCGAAGTACAAACCTTTACTAGAAGACGATAGATCAAAACTTGCGAGAATATCTGAGCCAAAGGAGGTTTGCGCAGCCAAGTGCCTGAAGCCAAAGAACACTGAACACGACACAAACATCACAAGAGCGACTTGAGTAAATCGGCCGACGGAAATTCGAGGACGAGGAAAAGCTAAGAGCATGCTGCGAAGAGAGTGTACATTGATATCATCCCCCAACGGCCGCGCCATAGCTGGCTTCTATACAAAGGATGGAAATAGAGGAATAGAAAGAAGACAAGTCGACAAACAGCCGCGATTCGGAATTAAGATGGCGTCCAACGTTTAAGCGGCCGCTGACCTGCATTACGTACATCGCATGGGTATGGTTTGCCTAGCCCCAATCTGTACATATTTATATTGAGCGCCAATAAGTGGACGATAATAAGCGCCCGTCGCTTGATTGAAAGGGGCATTCTACAACGGCATGGGAGGGCCCGAAGCCATGTAGCTGCGACCAGCATGAGAAGAACTTCTGGGCGTCAACTCTATGGGATTCCCTGTATAGCAACAATGCAATTTTACAAGGTGAATCAATTCTTACTCAAACGTTGTGGCAAGAGTTGCTCTCTCCACGGAGTGACTGTTGGTAATTACTGTATTGGTTCGGTTTGTGAATGCAATCACTGCGCAATTTCTACTCTGATATCCCAACAGTTCGGAACCGAGAACCAACATGTTGGGTTTCACCTGAGCTTTATTGCAGATTCAAAATTCTCATTGCAAGATCTTCATTGGTAGACTTGTGGTGAACAGGCTGTGCATGATTCGCCGCAGCAATACCATGATACATCGGGAAATCATAGGGTAACGGAACAGCATGCGTAAACTATGAACCGGTAGTGGATAGCATTGCCAAAACGCTACTCACGCAGCCTACAGTGTTGCGACAGGAAAAGACACTAGACTCCTTTCATTTTCACTCCCCAGAATAGCCACCCACCCACGTAGCTGGGTCGAGCGGGTCATTCATCTCTCGATACGTATCATCAAAAAGTTCCTCTCCTCCATAAATTGCTGCCCACTCCCGAATCTTCTCAAAGTTTCTGCAGGTGTGAGGTGTCGCAAACTGATTTCTCATCGCATTAACCTCGTAGTCCCAATGCCAGGTATACACCGTTACATCTGAAGCACAGACAAGGGCCTGACGGATAGTCTCAACGCAGTGATCTATATGATGGTGTCCAAAGAGAAGATCTTCACCGTCTTCCCCAGGAACGTAAGGCTTGTAGTAATCAGGCCTCAGGGTCTGGCGAATCATATTCTGTCATCAAGTTAGCTTTTATGTCTTCTGAACTCTCTTGAGAACTTACAAGACAATGTAGTTGGTGAAAGACATCAAGTTCAATCACATAGCGGCGTTCTTTGTCGTGGGGAAAGATCATCGTCTTTGCGTAAAGCTTCTCAGCTTCTTCTTTTGGAATGAGCTGGTAAACACCTATTATTATTTAGCATGACCTTTTAAGTATCCTCACGGCGAGATTTACTTGGGTACAAGCTGGACCAGTTCGCATCAAGTTCGTGCGATGGCTCCCCCATATATTCGGACAAGTTATCATCAACCCCAGTATGAAAGTAGGTTAACTGATACTCAAGAAGATGCTGCACGGGACCTGGGTAATGTTATTAAATGATATTTTGGGGACTTGGGGTATTAGCTGTAAGTAAGTTGTGAAGGTATAATGTCACTGTTTTCGCCTTTCCGGTATCGTATCAAGTCCCATAAACCAAGCATGAGAAACAAAAGCCAGGGAAGGATGATGAGGGAAACAATCAAAGATCTCTGATGTTTCCCCCCTTTTCTGTGATCCGAATCTGTGGCAGGCGTCCAGGGCCGGTCGTCTAGTCCAGCTTTTTCCTCCAACATCAGAGGCTCTTGTAGACTTTGGTATTCGTGGGACGACATGTTGCTAAAGATGAGGGATGAGAATGGATGAGACGTTCAACGAGACAAAGAATGATATTGTATTGAAAGTGCTTTTGCTGATTTTGAAAGTAAGTGAGCGAATTTCAAGACGGACACTCTGCTTTGTTCTGGCTGACTAGCGGAAACACAAATTCAGCCTTCGATTGCATATCATGCATGCACTTTAGAAGAAAATGCTCTACAATAAAATTCTCCAGGGAGTTGATCGCGAAATCTCGTGTAGGCGGTCGAGTTCGGCAGGTCAAATGCTCTCTCAAGGTTACACTGAGAGAAGACACCGAGATTGCAATTGGATCGCTTATGAATTTCGAATGGACTTGAGGCAAAGTATCAATGAAATGCGAAACATACCTAGTACTTTTCACTACATTGCGTGATGAACGCGAATGCGAATGCGAATTGTCTCTGCATATTCACCTATATATGACTCCACATGACTGCAAGAAGTACCAACATGCATATGATTCCACATAGTTGCAATACCCGCAGCAATGGAGCAATGACTGAATTGATCTTAGCATGCATTACGAAATGGCACTTTGTGATCATGCAATGATATAATAGTAGAATATATTGGTTGTATATTTATTGTAGATGACCTTAAAAGCGACGTATGCTTTTGAAAGAGTTCACTCTGCTTGAATTTGATGTTGACATTGAGTAATGTAAAGAGACTTGGTGAAAAGCCGGGCTCTCAATATCTACTCAAGAGTTTTTGATATGTTGTAATTGAACAAGTTAAGCAAATCAAAGATGAAAGTAACACAGTATAATACGCTAGAGGCTGGTCCTTAGTAGTTTGGGCTTCTTCATCTTATTCGCCTTTCTGTATAAAAGTCATAAAAACCTGAACTGGAATTACTAGCCAGATTGTTTAGATTTCACAAGTTCCCACCATGCACCAACCTTGCCAATATTAGCATGCAGCAAGGTGGCATATAGAGAAATAGCTGGAGGATTTATGCAGCTCAGATTTAAGTTGCAACCTAGGTCGAGTACTCAAGAGGCACATTAATGAGCAATTTGAAGAATTTGGGTACTCCGATAACTTCTCGTGCATTACAAAGCAAGTTGACCATCTCCATAAGCCATTTGAGCATATTCATAAGCTTCTCGTGCATATCAATTGAGAACGGCGCGGAATATGATGCAGTTTCTCCTCATGCAAGAGCAGCTTTAGGAGAGCGATTGGCTGGGGAGTACAGAAGCGACTAGCTCATTTGACTATCCAACAGTAAGTGAAAATTGGTAGAACATGCTCTTGATCACCGAAGAGCTCTTATTCTTGACCATCGTGGTTAAAGATATAAAACTGTAGCAGTTTCTCTTCAAACATCTCATTCGATCTATACTTCAACTGCCTATTACATACTTTTGCAGATCAAACATCAACAAGCCGAGCTTTCGACACGATGAAGCTCAATACTCTCGCCTTTACTTTCGCTTTACTTGCTGCAAATATCTTGGGAGCTCCTCTCGATGTTAAGCGCGAGCCAGAGGTTGCAGATGACACCTTTTCCGGAGCCACCTGGTTCAAGCGTGAAGTTGCAGATGAATCTTTGGCTGTCGCTTGGTTGAAGCGTGATGTTTCAGATGATACCTTTGCCGGTGGCTCTTGGTTCAAGCGTGAGGTTGCAGATGACGACTTTGCCGGCGAAGTTTGGTTGAAGCGTGATATTGCGGATGAAGACGTTGCTGGGGGTGTCTGGTTGAAGCGTGGAGTTGCAGATGAAGACGTTGCTGGTGGTGTTTGGTTGAAGCGTGAGGTTGCAGATGAATCTTTGGCTGCCGCTTGGTTGAAGCGTGAAGTTGCAGATGAAGACGTTGCTGGTGGTGTTTGGTTGAAGCGTGAAGTGTTTCTCCCTGGAGCTGCTGCCATGGTCAAAAGCAAATGATCAGTTTCGAGGTAAATACTCCCTTTCCAATCTGTACTTTGAGAACCGCTTCTAACATCGTATCAAGATGCTGCGAAGACTCCAACTTTCAGGTATGTTGCACTAGTTACTGAGGAATGACGCTAATATATAATTTGGTAGGAGGATATGAGATCTAAGGCTAGTTGTTGTCAGCTTACTGCATTTCAGCTGGCATGGTAAGACTCCACTTATGGGAAGGGGGCTATGATGGGAATTTGTGATGGGACCTTTTTAATGATTGCGATTCTTACGGCCATAATTATCCTATCATGTACACTCTTTTAAGGACAAAGAAACGATGACTCCTGACGGTTATCTTCCGACTTAAGTCCTGGCCTTTGTTTTCCGCCAGCATTTGTTAATTCAATTACCTCAAATAGTCTAATCGTCTCTTCAATACATTTCAGATTACAGCGTGACTGTGTCTCAAGACTGTACAAGGGTAAAAATCGTTTGATCGTTCCAAGGAGAACCAAGAACGCCTAAGCGAAGCCTCCCTCCTCGAGTCGCCAACTCTCGGCTAAAAAGGGGATTCAACTGTACTCGGCTCCTTGATATGTGTGACACGAGAGCGAGGTGTTACAGTATCTTGATAGGCTCAAAGAAGTCTTGGGGATTTATTTCGCCGCATATCGACGCTTTATTCAAGATGAATTGAGAGGAGTGAGTTTTTGGTGGTGTTGATTGCGCAATTAGCGCATTCCGCGCACTCTGCGGATTCAGCACGTTCAGCGCAACCAGCGCAACCAGGCACTCAGCGCGCTCAGCGTGCTTGGTGCTGTAAACTCAATTGACCTAGAGTTGGTCCACTCAACCAATGGTTATCTCAATCTCAAGTATTTGCAATTTCATATCATACATATCAAAGGAACCAAAACGAAATATCAACAATTTATTCAATAGATACACCTACTCGTCAGCCGGTACGAAAATGCCGTCCTATCCCGATTCAAGTCATCTAGGGAAAGCATCATTTCTCTCCGAAGGTTGCCGTGATGGCTTCGATGTTGCTCCTAGGCACTCGTTGCAAAGTGGTATTGGCCTTGGTGCTCTGATCCATCCTTTCTATTTGGAGACCAGCAACTCATTAGTTCGAGAGGACTTGAGGCTCGTCGATCATGAGGCTCGGCGGATGAGCGGCAGCCCCACTGGATGCCATAAGCAGGGAGAAATCTTTGTTTAGCATGTGATACTGGCAGAATGTGATTCGGGGAGTGTTTGCCCGATTTTGTAGTCTTGTAATTACTGTAAGTTCGGAATATGCAGGACAATGATGTCCAAGTTTTAGGTACGTTAGGTTACCTGGTGACAGCATAAACGAAGAGGAGAAAGAGAGAATGATCGCTCAAAGATTCTTCATAATGTCTGTCTATGCCATACTCCTCCAAAGTCCTGTCTTTCAATCGCAATGCTCTGGATCATGAGAATAAAAGTACATAGGAACCCTCTCTCCTGTCACTCTCTTACCCGAATGTCTTATTCATGAACTTATGAGCCAGCTCAACACCCAAGAACGTCGCTGCATTCGCAGGCACAGCTCTCGCCAGCGCTGGTCCGAAACCAGGGAAGAAGGCCTTGAATCCACCGTTCTTGTAAAGCCCACTGATGACCCCGCCAACAGTCGGCTTCCCCTCCATGGTCTGCAGTCTCGATTTGACGGTATCGATTGGAAACACTGGGATCCACATCGCAACACCTGCTGCTCCACCTGCTGTGCAAACAGCGACCAAACTTAGATCTCCGCTCGGTTTCCCAGTCAGTGGGTCAACCGGTGTTAATTTCCGCTTAATGATCTCGTAGGTTGCAAAGTATGCCGCTGAACCAGGACCATCTCGTGCCAAAGTAGCAGCAGAGCCTCTGAAAACTGATCGCACGCCTCCTTCCTTGTATAATTGCCGCACAACATCCACTCCTCCGCTGTATTTTGGCTTCTCACCTGGTGCGAGTTGTTTCTGGCCTTGGATCTGTAGCAGGACTTTGACGCGCTCGAAAGGTGCGGTGATGGCTGTCATAGGAATTGCCGAGAAGAAACCAGCTGCAGAGACTTGCGCGACTGTGAATTGATCGTTCTCGACCGTAGAGAAGCGTCTTACGAGGCCTTTTCCGACATCGTATCCCCAGAAGGATACCGCAACTAGAAAATAGTGTTTAGTTTGCGGCGAAAGGGATAGGATGTGGGGGACATACACATAGGAGTAACACCGACCAGAGGCGCACTCACGCCTGCGTAAAGACCTCTCCTCAAGCCATCTCTGGCAACACTCTTCCTCACGACATCAAGCGCACTAGAGTATGCCCCTCGTTCAGCGGTCTGCAGACGGACTTTGACCAGATCAAAAGGATGTCCGACGATAACAGCACATACACCACCGAAACCACCAGCTGCGAGACTCCGTAGGCCTGCGAAGGCCTTGACTTCTGCTTCTTTGAGCTCCTCCTTCAATTGCTGTTTCGTTTCGGGGACGTGGGGTAGCTTGTCAGCGATAGCTTCGGGGAGCTTGTCGATGGTTTGGTTGATCTGCGTGCCAGTCGAGGAAGAGGAGGGAGACATGACGAGTCGAGGAGAGGGCACCGCAGATAAGAGGAATGGGAAGAGTCGTGAGAGAAGATTTTATTGTTGCATGTGGATAAAATGGCTCTGGCTATGGCAGGCGGTGGTCGGTTTGCTTGCTCGCTCGGACGAAGAGTTGCCGAGGCCTGGCCAAACGGGCTCGGATTTCTTCTCATTGGTCGGGGCTAGAATCTGGGGAACCGGAACAAACTTCACTTTATTTTTATTCCATTTCATCCGTTTGCTGTACCAACCTTCTTGTTCATATTTGATTGTTATTATGAGTTTGAAAACAGTTTTAAAGTTGTGATTATTTGCTGCGGTATAGTTCGTGCCGTACCCATATTATCCAGGCTAAGTTTATCATGACCAAATAACAGTCTCATGGATCGCATTGATACAGACAAGGGTCAACCTTAATAGAAATGCTCCCGTTCGTTCGCCTTATTGTTCAAGAGCCGTATATCTAAGCATGGACCGTGAGCCTTGTCTTGAAGCTGGGATGTTTCTTGAATTATGCTTAAGAAAGATCTCTTGCTTGTTGTTGGCAATGTGCTTTCAGCTTCTGTTCCCTTCACATGTTGGCTTTGGTGTTGTCATTTATACCGGGTCACCTGACTCGAATGTCGGTCGGCCCAAGGATTCTTTTTTTTTTTTTTGCCCCTTTTCCTTTTCCCCATCTGCTCCTGTACATGAACCAGCATGCACTCCCCACGGCAGTGTGACTGCAAACCATGACTGCAGTATGACATGTAAAAGCAACCATCACATCATTTCTTTTGCAATATCGAATGGGATGGTGTCTCTCGCTGCTCCCCCACTTCGACAACGCCCTCTGGCACTGTTCACCACGCCCAAATACTCCCATTCATTGCCCAACTCCGGATTATCTATTTCGCCGGCCGCTATTGCAGGGTCATCACTGGCGCGTGTAGAAACACGTCGCTCCAAAATGCGTTGTCGGTGATCAATCACGCATAAACGTTTACAACTAAGCATCCTATAACACTCCCAAATATACCCAATTGGCGGGTCGCAAGGTACCGGTAGGTATGGTTTCGTCTATGGTAAAAACTCTCTCTTCCCATCATTATCTCTCTCTTCGCGTTTCTTTCATCCCAATGTCAATGTCAAATCGCATGCCGAAACAATGGCACCCAATTCTCGACCGCCATTAACAAGTCGGATAAGAGCTTCTTTCGACGGCAAACGCACCAAATCCGAAGTCACCAGCCCGACACATACGAACGGATTCATCACACAGGACCCTGAAAGTCTGCGGAGTGCGATAGATGAAGCTATTAACAGCGAAACTTTTCAGAAAGCTATTGCGGCAAACCTTGCGAAACTAATAAAACCCTCCATCAAATCGGCCCTCGATACGATACAACCGGTGGTGGAAGCGGTGTACTCACACGAATTATTACTACGGAAAACGAATCAGAGTGTGGAAGACATTCTATTGCGACTGGACGAGAAAGGAGTCACAGCTTCACGACGGGAATCGTTAGTCGAGCCCCTAGGCCCTGAACCGAATGATGGAGTACCTACAGCTCCCGCAGACGAAGGAGACGACGGAGGAGGAAAAACACTAACCCAGGAAACACCAAGAGCTGTGACTACTTCGAGTTCAGACCTTGCACAGCACAAAAAACTGTTGGAGGACAATCATGCGAAGACCACATCATCGTTGGCCGAGCTATCTAGCAATGTCGAGGTTAGCAACGGCAAGATAGCAGAAGCTTTGCAGGGCATCAGTGATGTGGATACGAAACTTCGATGGGCGAGTGATAGCATCGATTCGCTGAAGTCGTCATCGGAACAATCTCATACCACGATGTCGGTGTTGCAAGCACAACTTGACCAATTGAAGGAGGATATTGGTCAGCTTATGACCGCAGTCGGTTCTGACTTGGGAAAGAACGTCCAAGCTCTTAGTCAACACGGTGGGGCCCAAGACACTTCTCTCTTCGATGCACATACTACGAAGCTAGATGCTATATCGACAGACATTGCTGCCCTGAAGGCTCATTCCGACACTGTCGAAAAGATTGATGCTGTTTCTACGGAGCTTGCCTCACTCAAGACCAGCGTTGAAGCTGGTATTGCTTCGAATAGCGAGGGCTTTAGTGGTCTGGGCTCACAAATCAGTACCGTTCTTACCACTCTTGAAGGACATACCGGCACACTGAGCGAAATCAAAGAGAAAGCGCCGCATCCAGAGATTCTCAGTGCACTTCAGCAGTCAAACGATTCTCACGCAGCCCATGCTATTGCGTTAGGTGAAATCAAAGAGCGCTCTGGTGCAGCACCAACTCCAATAGCCACCGATAACGGAAGTTCGGACTCAACTGCAGCCCTACAGGAATTAAAAGCTGACCTCGCCTCTCTGAGAGAAAACATCGAGGCAGGACTTACTTCGAACAACGAGAATGTTACTAGTGTTGGAGCCAAGGTCGACAATGTCCTGTCTACAATTGAAGGCCATAAAGCTTCGGACCCGAGCGCTGACATTCTTGCTGCTGTTCAACAATCTAACGACTCACACGCCTCGCATACCGCGGCGTTGGATGAGCTGAAATCCAGAGAAATAGCACCAGCTGCTGCCCTTGATACGAGTGATCTTACTACTCAATTGAACGCTATCTCAGAGGCCGTCAACGCACATAGTTCCTCTTTGGATGAAATCAAAGCAGCTGGTGGATCACATGCGGCTTCCCTGGATGAGCTCAAGAGTCGAGAGCTGGCAACACCAAGTGCTCCACTTGATACCAGCGATCTGACCACTCAACTCGATACTCTCTCGGAGACCATCAATGCCCATACCTCGACTTTGGATGAGATTAAGGCAGCTAGTGGAGCACACACTACTGCTTTGGAGTCTCACGGAACTACGCTGGAAGGACTCAGATCTACGAACACTGTACCAGAGTCAGTTGCCGAAACAGAAGTCAGCAATCTTGCTCCACTCGAGGCACATATGAGCTCCATTGTCTCTATCCTTGAAGAGCATAGCGAGGCTTTGAATGATATCAAGACGGCCACTGGCGCTCATACTTCTGCCTTAGAAAGCCACGGAACAGCGCTGGAGGACATCAAATCTTTGAACAAGGAACTTCCATCGGTGCCAGTTGCTGACAATTCTGCACTCGAAGCTCAAGTCGCTGGCTTGGCTACCACGTTGGAGTCACATACTTCCGCTCTTGACGAGATCAAATCCAGCGGAAGTGCGCATGCAGCTGCACTGGAAGGCCATGGCTCTGCTCTGGAAAGTTTGAGATCCGTAAGCTCTGAGCCTGCATCTACCCCGTCAACAGTGGATCTTAGTGGATTAGAAGGCCATATTAGTGCTATCATTGCGACGCTCGAGACTCATCCTGCTGCACTGGAAGAACTAAAGATTGCCAATGGTGCTCACACGACGGCATTAGAGCAGTCGAGATCTACAAGCGATAGTGTGCCTGCAGCCGATGGCGGGAATGCTGCTGCCCTGGAGAGCCAGATCAATTCTATCGTCGCGACACTTCAAGGCCATAGCACAGCTTTGGAGGAAATCAGTGCCGCCAATCAATCTCATACCAGTATGTTAGGTGAAATTGACGCACGTGGCCAGACGCATGCCTCCACATTAGACGAAATCAAGTTGGCATCAACCACGCACGCTTCCGCATTGGATGAGCTCAAATCGCCTGGAATTCCATCTATGGGAGCTGTCGACAACACGAGCTTCGCTGCTCTGGAGATCCAAATCGGATCCATCATCAATACTCTAAACGTCCAGACCGCCGCTATCAAAGAGCTGCGACCTACATCATCCGAAAGCACCGAGATTGCCTCACCACCAGAGGGAAGCGAAGGACTTGGTGGAATCATGACAACAGTCGTCGAAACACTCGAAATGCATACGATGCTACTCAACGAAATGAAGGAAGACGTCAGCGCCGAAATCCTTACCACTCTCCACGATCTCAGTCAGATGCAAGTTAACCAGACCAATCTGCTTACAGAGATTCGAGAAGCGGATCTAAGCGATGAGGTTTTGACATTGCTACATGCTAGTGGCGAGAATCACACCAGCCATGCTGCAGCTTTGGAGAAGATTGAGGCAGCAGTACAAGCCTCGAATGAGAGTCATGTTGCCCATGCTAGTGCGTTGGAGGAGATCAAGGCGAAGTCTGTCGATGTCGTACTAGGCAATGCAGCTACTGTTGATATTTCTGGTATGGAGGCCAAGATTGATAGCATGGTTTCTGCATTGGAAGAACACAAGACGACACTTGAGGAGATTAAGGGCACGACGACCACAGCAAATGAATTGCATGCCAGCCACACGACTTCTTTGGATGAGCTCAAATCAAGAACTGTAGAGCCTAACGCAGCTCCAGCCACTGTCGACATAAGTGAGGTAGAAACCAAGATCGACCATATAATCACGGCTTTGAAAGAGCATGAGGCTGTTTTGGCAGAGGTCAAAGACGTGACATCCACCTCGCACGAGTTGCATACTGCTCATGGTGGTATTCTTGACGAGATAAAGTCCAAGTCTGTCGAGTCGCAACAAACATCAGCTGTCGATTTGTCTGGCTTAGAATCACAGCTGGGTGCTATCACTGCTGCCCTTGAGGAACACAAAACTGCTCTTGCCGAAGTCAAGGACTTACATACAGCACACGGTGTCTCATTGGATGAAATCAAGACAAGGTCTGTTGATTTACCTCCTGCTCTAGCTACAGATTTGTCAGGCCTGGAAGTTCAACTCGCCGCTATCACTGCATCTCTTGAGGAACACAAAGCATCGCTTTCGGAGATGAAAGAGTTGCATGCCACAAACGGCGCCTCTTTAGCTGAGATTAAGACACGGTCTGTCGAATCGCTGCCTGCACCAACCACGGACCTCTCAGGCCTAGAAACACAACTTACTGCCATCACTGCTGCGCTCGAGGAGCACAAAGCTACGCTGGCTGAGGTCAAATCAACTGGCCTTGCTTCCCATGAATTGCACGTAGCACATTCTGCTTCTCTTGATGATATCAAGGCAAGATCAGTTAAGCCTACAGCCACTGCCCCGCCAATCGATATTTCCAGTTTGGAAGCTCAAATGGGAGGTATCAACTCCTCAATTGATGAAATCAAAGCCAAGTCTCTCGAACCCGCCGCGAGCGCCATACCAGTTGATCTTTCGGGCCTGGAAGCTCAACTCGCAGGTCTTGCTAGCATGTTGGAGGAGCATAAATCCACTTTGTCTGAAGTCAAAGCTACAAGTCTTGCATCTCAAGACATGCACGCAGCTCACGCAACGAGCCTAGATGAGATCAAATCGAGATCAATCGAGCCTTCAGCCGCTTCCCCAGTTGATCTTTCTGGTCTCGAAACACAACTCAATGCCATTTCGGCTTCTCTGGAGGAACATAAGACCATGCTGTCAAATATTACAGATGCCTCTCTTCTGTCCAATATCTCGCACACGGCACACACATCCATCCTAAGCGATATCAAGGACGCCTCAACTGCCAGTAATGAGTCTCATTCTGCCCATGCAGCTGCTTTGTCAGATATTAAGGATGCGACGTCCTCGTGGAATGAAGCTCATTCTGCCAATGCTTTCACGCTGGCGGAGATTAAGGATGCCACTTTAGCAAGTAACGAGAGTCACATGTCACATACTGTGGCTTTGAGTGAGCTAAAGGATGGAATTGCTCAAGGCAACGAAGCTCACGCCTCCCATACTGCGGCCTTTGCTGACTTGAAATCTGTTCAACCGAGTGAGAGTTCAGCGCCAACTACAGTGGAACTTCTAGATCTCTCACCTATCGAAGGACATCTCACCTCTATCATCAGCACTTTGGAGGGCCAAAGTTCATCGCTAGCTGAGATCAAAGAAGCCTCGTCTCACGAAGACATCCTGGCCAATATCTCCGACTTGAAATCCATCATCTCAGAGTCGCACGCGGAGCACGGGATTTTGGTAAAAGATCTCCACACCGAAACCAAAGACTCGCATTCGCATCTCGCAGAAGCAATTGGAGCCCTCGCACTCGGCGGCGCAGCAGGGGCCGGGACCTCGGTCTCAATGGACGATTCCAGCAAAGAAGTCCTCTCAGAAGTCCAAGCCATGCGCGTCGTTCTCGACGGCACAAAAGAAAAAGTCGAAAGCGTCGCAGCACAGATAGACATCAACCACACAACCGTCACAACCTCAATAACCACTCTCTCTGATGAGCTGAAAGCCGAAATCGATGCAACGGGAACCCATGTCACCGATCACGTGCTGTCTATCGATCTCAACCCTCTCACGCAAAGCGTCAAGACCGTTGAATCAAAACTCGAAGGCCTGGAATCTAGCGTCAAGCAAACTGGCTCTTTTGTCGTTGGTCTTTATGAGGGCGTGCATTTAAATGATACTGGCGTTGGACAATTGCAGGAACAGCTCGTAACGTGGGTTGTTAAGGGGAGAGGAGCTGGTGCTGAAACACCGGTTGAATCTTTACCTGTTCCATCAGACGGAGAGAAGGGATTGCAAGTCCCGATCGAAATGGACGAAGCGACTTGGTTTAAGAAGAGGGAAAGTAAGAGGGCCGTCAGCCCGAGTCCTTTGAGAGAGGTGGAGACTGTTAGTCCGCCGGTGGAATTGGAGCAAGAACAAGAGCAGGAAGAGGAGGAGATGCCTAATATTCATGCCGTTTTAGAGAAGGATGTCATGCCAGCGGCCTTGGCTGCCGGTGCTGTTGGGGGTGCGGTTGCGATTGAGGAAGCTATTCACGAGGGGTCGAAACCCGATCCGGGAGAAAGCTATGATAATGTCCCGACGATCGAAGAGCCGCAAGTGGAGGACAGCCCGGCTGTTGGATCAGATACTCTACCTTTGGACGAAAGCAAGGAGGTTGAGAAATCTGCGCCATTAGAGCCCGAAGCTGTTGTTAGCGAAACTATTTCTCCAGAGCCATTGGAAGAAACCACGTCTGCTGAACCTGAGATATCGGAGAAGGAAATCGAGCAACCTCAAGAAAGCATTGAGCCGGAGTCCGCGGAAGAAACCCATGCCTCTGAACCATCGACGGAGGTTGAGATCCCGAAGGAGATAGAAAGTATTGCCCCAGAAAGCGTTGAGGAAAGCGCTTCAATCGAGGAAATCCCAGCCTCTAAACCATCAGAAGAGCCAGTTTCAGCAGCTACAGAGCCCGAGGAGAAGGAAATTGAAGAGCCTCGAGATATTGGGGAAACCGCCATTCCCACAGGCTTGGGAGAATCCGCTCCTTCCGATCTCGAAACGCCAACAGAGGAAGCCAAGGCAGCTGAGGAGGAGCCTCCTATCGTTGAACCTGAGGGATCCGGTGTCCCAGACATTCCAGCTGCGACGGAAGAGTCTCGTGAGATAGAGGGGCATATCCCGGCCGATACTGAAGAGTCGACAGCTCCTGATACTCACGAAGACCAAGAAACCGCTTTAGTAGAGCCGCAAATAGCAGAAGACGAAGCTGGAGCGCCTCATGAAGTACCAAATGTCTCTGATCACGTGGGAAAAGATATCCCTGAAACAGAGGCGCCAATCGAGAGCAATGAAGCTGAAGAGCATCCGCCCGTTCAACAAGAGGAGGAAGAGGTATCCGGTGTTCCGGATACCGAGAAAGACGCTCCTGTTGAGTCCGAAATTGAACAAGCCGAAGGGCCCGTCGATACAAACTCTTCGCCCATTCTTGAGTCGGAAGAAGAAGCCACTCACCTACAAGAACTGGAGTCAACAGAGCCAATTCAGGAGGTGGTTGAGGAAAGCGCTCCTGTCGAGCCAGAATCCATGATTGATCACGCCAGTATCCCCGAGACTCTGGAAGAACCAGCACCCGTGGATCCCGAAGAGCCGGTTGAGCATGCTAAGGAGATCGAGGAGCCAAACCATACCGAGCCCGAACCAACAGTTCTAGAAGAGGATCACGGATCTCCCTCTGATGAAGTCAAGGATGAGAGTCTAGAGCCCGAGGATAATGCACATGTACCCATCATCGAGGAACAATCTATTCACGAGAGTGAGGCAATTGAGGACGGTCATCCAGACCACGAGGAGACACCTCCAGTCGAGGACAAGCATTCAGGTGGCAACGAATTGGTCGAGACTCATCAAGCGATATCTCCAGAAATCGAGGAGCACTCTGATCATAGTCATGGAGAAATTGCTCCAGAAAGTCGAGATCCAGAGGATCACACCACGGGAGATAGCCATGTAATAGAGATTAGCGCTGCTGGGGATGAGCCGAAGACTGAATCCAGTGAGGGCGAAGGTTTAGAGCAGGAGAAACATGTTGTACCACATGATACTACCGAGATCCCAGTAACTGGCGAAGAGGCCGATGAAACTCATACTGAGCCCGAGATTAACGCCACTGAGGAGGAACATGCAGATCCAGACAGCCACCACGTACCAGAGGAGCTTGTTCCCGATCAGCCCTCAGAAGAGACTACTGATTTGGGCGATGAGACTCCTCGGGATCCCGAACCAACTCCAGCTGAACCCCTTGATATCGAGACTCCAAAGGACGACGAGGATTCTCGAGAAGAGGAAATGCCATCGATTTCTCGCCACGAAGTTGAGGATCAGGCAACGACGGAAGAACAGTCAGAAGCTGGCGGGGCTCCAATCGAAGATATCAAAGATGATTCTCACATCTCTGAAGAAGCTCCGCCTAGCTCGCCTTTTATTGAAGAGCCAGAAGCTCAGTCGCCAGCAGTCCATTCACGGTCTAGGAGTCTCGATGAAGAACATCCAGCTCTCGACTTCGAAGAACCTCATCCATCACCTATTTCCGAACATCACCCTTCATCCTTAGTCCACGAGGTAGCAGATGACGATGAAGGAATCCCAATCGCAACCCACGAACCGGGAAGCCCAATCGAATCTCATTCCATCCCTTATTCAGGACTGCATGCCGATGCTACACCTTTGGATGAGGAGGATGAGAACCCATTTGAGAACCCAGAGAATGTAATTTCGCCAAGTGATGTATTCTCACCGGCTGATGTGCTGTCGCCGGAACAGGAAATTGATGAGCCTGATTTTGAGCATGTTGGTCAGGCGGAGGGGCACGAGGTGGAGGACCACAGTGTTGAGGGCTTTCATGAACCAAAGGGCGAGCAGGACGAGGACTCAATTCCTTCGCCTGGAACCGTTATTCACACGACTCTCAGCCACCATGATGATGAAGAAGAAGAGGAGGAGGAGGAGGAAGAATCGCCTGGTGCCAGTCTACATGAGGAGGAGACGACTCACGGTGCTGTTACCCACGAAGATGTCCATTCAGGACATGACGCAAGTCATCCCACGCATGTTCACGAGCCAGAATCGACCCCTGGTACACACGACATCACTCACCCTGTCGAAGATGAAGATGAATCACCCATCTCACATCACGACTCAAAGTCTACCCACGAGGATGAAGTAGACGAACCCCACTCCTCCCCTGCATTCTCAGGAGGTTTCGCTTAAATGCCGCCTTCGACTCGCTGTACTCTGTCTTCTTCTTCGTAAAAGTAAAGTAATGCTTGGATAGCAGGACACTTCATTCACTTCTACATATTTCTTTTCTTGTTTTCTTGGTCTGGATCACCTTTTCGCTTGTATTTTCTCCCAAAACTTAGCTTTTGTGATTTATTTATGTAGTTTGTGACGGACAGTATTGGGGGTGGGGTAGGGGGATATGGGAGTAGGGAGTTGTATTGATTGTGTAGGATGTTGGTCTTTGAGTTGTGGTATATATGAATATATGATATTTTCCACTTCTGACTGTTGGGCTTTGATTCTCATCCCAGCAGTGGGTCACTCAAGCAGTGGCGAGTGACTGACTTGGGTAAAGAGTGGCATTTATGTGAATGACTGCTTTGTACGCGTCTATATAAGACGTCCCCTTGTGCTCAACCCTTCTCGTTACTTGGATTTCTCAATACACCATCTCCTCCACAAATTAACCCACTCACGGAAGACATGCCATTCCTTCCAAACGCGACGTGCGAGACCTTCCAACCATTCCTCCAGGCGTTACTAAACTCACCACCAAGGGACCGCCACCTCGACATCGCGAACGGCAAGATCGCTGTTCCATGGTGGTGCTTTGAGCAATTGTGGATGAGAGACGGAAGGATCGACGCTACGTTCGCGCTTTGGACTCTCGCGAAGCTGGGCATCAAGGAACTTGTTCTCGTTGTGGGGACGCCTCATATGTTCGCCTTGATCGGCTCCGAGATTCGGGAGAGTTTTGAGCTCGCGAGACCAGGGAACGATCGACCCCCCATATGTCACGCGGTCTGGGAAAAAGAAATGGCTACTATCAGGATCCTGAACAGGAGGATCCTAGCCTGGATGACCTTTGGGCGTATGCTCTCGTTTGATGGGCAGCAGAGTAGCTGGGAGGAGACTGAGACGGCGATCGAGAGGACGATTGCTGGGTTGCCGGCTGGGTCGGAGGGTTGCTGGGCTTGGGGGAAGAAGTATATTCTACCCTGGTATTGGTGTATCATAGCTAACTGAGCCTGTTTAGATTACATGTCAGCGGTTCTTCGAGACGATGCTACGGCTCAGGGTTTGGTGGAGATTCTTGATCGGAATATACTGAGTGATGTAGAACTCACGCATTGGGAGAAGATCAGAGTTAGATTTATGGAGCTTAAGAAGGCTTAAACTGGGACTCATCTCTACACTTTCATGTCACTGAATGTCGGATTGTTTGTAAGAGTCTATCGTCACTTGGTTAAAGTCTGGCTAGTTGAAAGTCAAATAGACCATGATGGTCTACGACAATGGCAATAGCGATACGGAGATTGCGGCATAAAGTGATGCGACTGCAGGGCATTTCAAGGCATTCAGGCTTTCAGCCCATTAAAGCACTGTGGAGACATAACCTTAGCTGCGGTAAACACAGTTTTCAGGCCTGAGGCGTGTAACATCGCTAAGCTACAGCGCCTCTGGCCCCGACTGCGCTATATTTGGGGCATAGAACTCGCTTAGGGATGCACCATAGCCTGAAAATGAATCGCAGCTTCAGGGATAGGACTCACAATTTCCAGAACACACACATTAAGCTTGATGTTAGCTTGGGTAATCCGGTAGCACTTCAGAGCGATGTTCCCTATCAAAGGTCACTAAATCAGCCCATCCACTTTTGGGCACTATGTCCCTAAATCGGTAACCATTTCTAGGCCCAAATACAGCTTTTGGCGAGATTAGGGCTAGAGCGCTGGAAATACAAGGTGCAAATTCGCCGATACTACTATTTACAGTGTGCTATGGCTACATTGTTGCCTTGGAGAGCACTATTTTAGGGGACCAAGCCCGTAGTTGCACCACTTTATGCCGCAATTCTCCGTACATTTTCAATTTTTGATATCAAACGACAAACCCCAAAAACGCAGATCATGTGCGTCAATGCTGTTTTGCTCGTTCTCCCACCACAAAGTTCTATGTTCGTACAGTACAGGTAATCATCCATTTTCAAACTGTGAGTATCATGGTGTCAGATTCAAGATTTTTAACCATTTAATTAGTCATCTACTTTCGATAACGAGTCGACCTCTATCATCTTGTTGCGCCTTCTAAAGGGCTTTGAAAGTGTTTCCCTTATCCGGCCTTTGAAAGCGATCAGAAAAGTGATGACATTGATGGCTATGGAGAGTGGTGCCGACACAGACCAGAAAAACCACTGGCCTTTCTCCATCGACCGGATGTCATCTGTGTTCATACCTGTAGAGTATGTCAGCAGCAAAGTTTAAGCATATGAAAAGGGGGGATTCGACATACCAAAGTACGAGGTAAAGAAAGAAAGTGGAAGAAAGATTACGGTGATAATTGTGAAGATCAGAATGGATTTATTCTGAATAGCCATTTTGAGGGCAAGTTGAACTTGGAGTTTTGTTTCCTTGGCCATTTCGATAGCAACCTGTGATTGGAGATATGCGGCTTCTGTGTTGCTGAGTTGAAAAAGCTACAATGCTTGAGTTAGAATCTTCGGTGTCCTCAATCTGGTATGACTTACCAATGCCTGGTGCTCTCTAGCTCGCTCATGAAGTCGTTTTAACGATTCCAGATGGATTTCCCTGGTCTTGATAGCATTCTCGAACATGTCGCGTGTCAATGCGGAGGACTGGCGCCAAATACTTTCTTGGCAATTGTACCAGTGTTTGAGTGTATTTATTTGGGACTGCAGTGGGTCGAGTAGGATAGCGAGCTCGGCCACATAATCGCTTAAGAGCTTGACCAAGTGGTGATCGCCAGTAGAGTGAAGTTGAAATTGCTGAAGGCACTCTTGTCAGAATGTCATAGCTGAGACAAGGTGTCAGCATGTCTAGGGGACTTACTAAGCTCGACAACCTCTTTCGATAGATCGACTCATAGCTTCCCATGCACTTATCCGCATTGTTCACAAGCTGGATTAACAAATGCCCCATGTCTTGAGGGCCATTCATATCACCCCATATTTCTTTAAACGGATCATCCATACTTTCATTTCTGAATGCGCAGATGGTGTCTGGAATTTTGTGTCAGATGATGGTAAGCAGAAACTTTATGACGGGTGTATATACCTGATTCAGGAAAAATAAGAATCCAGAGAGGATCTACGACTATCAGCCGCTTTTCAATGCTGATGCTTGCTTCGAAATCTCCTAGCAACGACGTTTGTCGTGCATCAAGCTTCAAAGTATCGTGGTCACCACAAGCGTACTCAAACAACGCCCTAGCACTTTGAATCCTCTCGGGACAAGTGTCACCGTGAAGAACCGTGGAGCGAAATTTAGATTCCTCGGCTAGATCAAACTTTCTCGAGTACCTTCCTTGCGAGATCGTCGGAAAACCTTTGAGGTCCTGCTTCTGTATCGAAGTGATGAATTTCTCTGTTGCTTTCCTATTGTTGTAGTCGTCGACGAATTGAAACTCTATCACGGGATATAGCGCTGCGAAGTATTGGAATGCCCGAACACTGCGTCCATCATAAGTCTTCTGAGTGAAAGAGTCTGTATATGGATTAGGTAGCGCATTGAAATATCCACTATTTCCCTGAAGGCGATGTAAGAGCTTGTGAGCCATAAGCTTGGCCTGTTCTTCTGGAAGGGGATAAAGCGAGTGGAACATCTGTAGTTAATTATTAACGCTAGTTTTTAGAGGGAGAGGAGTTAAACACCTCATCTTCAATGAAAGAGTATCTGGTCTGGGGGAAAATAATCAGACGGCAAGTACTTGAGACTCCTTGAGAGAACGGACGAGGAGCCATTCGTGACATCAGGTAACGGCTGGTGTTCCGAAATTTGAGGTGGCTGTCATATGGTACATCTGGATTTCCAGTAACATCAATGAAAGGGATGTGATATTTCTGGATTGTCTCCCCGAAATCCTGAATGCGGATGCCATATTGGCGATATTGGCTGTAAAGCCAAGTGTCTGGTGGACGTTTATGTCGACTTCGATATGAGTTCACGATTGAGGCTCGGATAGGACATAGCTGTAGCTCCGAAAGGATCTCAAATGCTACATGCTTATGATTGATATAATGCCTTAATTTTGGAAGAATAGACGACCAATTCAGACCGATGAACGAAAGAGTATTTGCGTGAGGAATTGCTGACCAAACTACACGATAAAGTATCATTAGTAGATGTTGGAACTTCCCGGTTGAGATGTGGAATTACCTACGATGTTGTTCGTCACTTTCCCATCTGTCAAACTGCCACTCAAGCCAACGCTTAATTTCCTGACGCCTCACAATCTCTTGCTGGGGAAGTTGATCTTGGAGATCAACTCGAAAATACTCGCTGGCGGATATTTCCATACCTATCTCTGAAGTTGAGGCTGACCACTATAATGTTTCAAATGTGGGGCCGTCGATGCATGTTCTTATAAGTGACTTCTCGAGCTCTGAATGTATGCCGCTTGCGACTAAGCCGACAGAAGTCACTTGAAACAGTGCATTATTGATAGACGGAAACAACAACTCGTTACGTGCAGTTTGGTTTCCACGGTTTTGAGGGAGACGAACTTTCGAGAAGACGAGGCTCTCATGAGACAAGGCTTTGACAAAGTGAGGCTGCTGCATGCAATGCAAGGTCATCAATGCCTAAGACAGAGCCTTGACTGAGCCCTGTCATGCTGTGTAACCTCACCTGCCGTGCCGAGACGGGAAGGTGAGAAGGACCCAATCTATCTGCAAGCCTCTGTAGGACGCCATCATTGAGTCCCGACAGCTGCTTGTTCTTGGGTAGATATGACAAGATTGACTTGGCCATATGTGGTAAGTTTCGCTTATCCGGCAAGTTTGTAAACATGATTATTACGTCCTATGGAAGATAGAGATGTCACTATTCATGCCTTAGGTACCAAATACATGAACTGAATGAAGTGAGCTTCTGGAACTCTGACCTTCGCAATATCAGCAATATCGAGGCGTGCTCAGACACGTGTCGCACGTGACCCTGTATCTCGCGATATTTCTGCGTCTCTCTTTCACAATCTTCCGCAAAACACCATCTTAAGGCACAAAGCGTCTGCTTACTGTTCTCGATGAATTCAACTGATGGTGAACCGACGCAGGACGAGCCCCAGGATAGTGTTACGACCTCTGAAGCGCATCAGGCAGACCCATCCGAACCTCTATTGGATGCTTTCATCGACCACGCAGGGTTGCACTCAGCTCTAGATAGTCTAGACGCAGCAAACTCTGCCCCGCCAAGATCTGTCACATATCTCAACGGTTTAGCCCTCGTGATTGGCTTCCAGATAGGCTCTGGCATATTTTCGGCACCTGCTGTCGTGCTGTCAAACGTCGGCTCACCTTTGACAGCCGTGTTGGTGTGGTTCCTGGCTGGAGTTCTAGTATGGTCTGGTGCATCATCCTTTATTGAACTTGGTACGAGAGTTCCTCAAAATGGCGGCATTCAGGAGTATCTTCGACACTGCTACGGAGATATCTACGGGTTCCTCTTTGCTTTGATCTGGATCCTTGTATCACGACCCTGCGCCATGGCTATGGTTTCACTTGTTTTCGCCGAATATTTGTTCAGGGCAATTTGGCCAGGAGATGACCCTTCAGTATGGATTTTGAAGATCACGGCGTTTGCTGCAATAATTTGCATCACGTATCTCAACTGCATAGGAACGCATTATGGGATTGGCGCTGCGAATTTCTTTCTGGTACTAAAGGTCTTTGGACTCGGATCTATCGCAGTCACAGGCTTCGCAAGTGCTTTCATCAACTCCGGGTCTCAGCCAAATCCGCAACCTAATACGACAATGCTAATCTCCGAGTCCTTTCCCATTGAAGCTCTTACGGCATCGACGTGGCTTTGGACGAGCTTAGGCGGTTTTGCAGACGCTACTTTTGCAGCCCTTTTTGCGTATGGAGGTTGGGAAGCAGTACGTGAGTTCTTAAATGGTTCTATGCCATCGCGTTGATGTTCTTTAGATCAGTTTTGTCATTGGAGAGATGAAAGAGCCTCATTCTACACTACCTAAAGTGCTCAATAGTTCGATGGCTATTGTGGTGACACTTTTTGTCGCAGCAAACATTGCCATTTACAATACGCTGCCGCTGGAAATTTTGGAGAAGACAAATGCAGTTGCAATTGTAAGTGTCCATCTTCCCCTCCACATTAATCACTCCTTGAGAAAAAAGGTTCAAAGTTAATAATCGAAGGCATTTGGAATGAAAGCGCTAGGACGCCCTGGAGCTTTATTTTATGCCTGGATTGTTTGTCTATCTTGCCTCGGGGCCTTGAATGCAATCGTCTTCTCAGCAGGTCGTCTTACTCAAGCTGCCGGAGCCCGCCAATATATTCCGTCTTTCCTCAACAGCGCCAATAATTCTAAAGCGACTAGAGCTCAAAGTCCTCACATACATGCTCGGCGCAACATTCCTAACGACGACAAAGCCCAGAATGTTCCACTGTAAGCAACCAAACTTACTGCCATTTCCGCTGCTCGAAAGTCACAACTAATCAGTGCACAGTAATGCGATGGCATTCAATGCTACAGTCGCTTCTATGTACGTATTAGTAGGCAGCTTCAGGGGCCTTTTGACTTTTAAAGGTAAGCTTTTGGCATTCTGAGCTGCTATATACATAAATTCGCACTATATACTGATTTGTAGGCATGATCGAATATGTCGTCTACCTAACCACGGTGTCTGGCCTTCTGTTCCTTCGTTTTCGACGTCCTCTAGACGCCAATACACTCGGCCAAATGTACCTGACGCCGATAATCAATCCCATAGTGTTTTGCAGCGTTGCTAGTTTAATGGTCATTCGGAGTGCCATAGCACATATGATACAAGCACTTATCATCCTTCTTATTTTGGGCGCAGGCATTCTTGTATATCGATCGCGCTGGTGGCGCTCGCTCGTTGCAATCAGGCCTGCAGATTCAGTTTGATGGGACGATCAATCATGATAGTTATATCTCATATTCGAGAATGGACATAACTAATGAAAATGCGATTTTGATCTGATGATCGGGTCTCGTCGTAAGTTTCGCTGAGCTTTTAACCTTGCGGCTTTCGAAAGCCATCTTTCATTGCATCGCTGATACGCCTCCTCGAACTCATCGGCCCCTATAATAGTGTTACACGACAAACTTCAGTAATATGAAGTGCTCCGTACCTTTGGGGCCTGGAAACATAATGCTGATGGACGAGAACTCCTTACTCTCGGCGGTCTTGTCCCGTGCTCGGGCGCTAGAAGTCATTGGAATCCCCGCTGGACGAGCGTCTGTCCCTTTTTTGATAGTTATTGGTAGAGAGCTACCTGCTCTGGAGTTGCAAGATACCGTTACAGAATTTGCTCCGCTCCGAGTGAGCTGTGTTTGGTCTGTGACTAGCTCGATATGTTAGAATCAATTCTGCAAATTGAGAAGACAACACTCACCAAGTACACTAAAGATAGACGATCCACCAAAGAATAGTATTCTTGACACTTCGACTTGATCCGCTATAGCCTCAATTGCATCTTTCTGCTGCAATGATACAATGGGCTGTGAACAGTGCGCATGGACAGGGTAAAATCTTCTTCCCGGATCAGCCACCGTCCAGACTTGTGCTGTAGGACTCAACAATTTGATGCTCGACGAAAGTTTCCTGCCTTGAAAAAAAACTTCATTGATGGAACTAAATCTCAAATATATCAGTCTGTCGATTCACTTAGTCGTGAAGGATTCTCACGGGAAGTAGCTTTCAAATTGATCTTCAACAAAGCAGCTTGTCAAGTCCGTCAAATCTGCTGAAGATCAGCCTTCACTCTTGTACTGACTGCTGAAAGACTCACCAGCAATTTCAGATTTTGTTGAAAATAAAATCGAGCTGCTTTGGCTCCCTTCTCTGAACGACAGCACTGCAGGTGTCTTTCGAAAACAGTAATTTGGTACAACTTCTGCTCTCTCCGCGTTGACTATGCAATTTCGTTTCAGTGCCCATGCTCGCAACAGTGTATTATACTTACCAACAATCTCACGAATAAGTGAGTTCTCTTGGCAAATGCGGACACGAAATTTTGCGACTACTGATAGTTCCGGTGTAATCCGAATCGTGGAGGGAATCCATTTCTGATTCTCCAAGGACTGCTCGGCATCGAACGAGGCTGTGAGCAATTCAAATGGCTCGTCGATTCCGACGCTATGAGGTGCCGCATCCGCCTGAAAGAGTGACGCTTGTCCTTTGCCTCTTGAAAATGCATGTGGAGATGAATAGGGACTCGATGTGAATGCAGGTCCGTCCTTTGGCTCGGCAAAGTCCAAAAGCCGCGAGTCCTAACGAAATTCATGTTAAATTACATATGTTAGGAGGATTTCTGCATGTACAACCTTTGGTAGAGTGTTGATGACAAGTGACAAGACCTTCTTTTTGCGTGAAATTGAGGATGCAAAAGGATCTCGGATGGAAAGATCCAAAGAGTCAGGTTCAAAGTCGACTGAAGCTCGAGCAATCTTGTCATAGGTGACAAAAGCACGGGTCAATTTCTGTGCGCCAAATTTAGTAAAGATTGACTCTTCCCAGCCTCAAGGATCTCGAAATGCCACGACCAATTCACTAGGTTGCAGACTTACTTCGAGTACCATTTCAACGATTTGATTGACTTCAAAGTTCTCAGCATTGGTCGTTCTCGATGCATAGTAGTTGATAAGATTGTGGACAATCCAAGCACACTTGTATAAATCTCCATGAAGTTTGGAAGTTTTGATCTCGTGAGCGGCTCCCGCACGTGTTCCATGGAGCGAGATATATAACTTGCACATTATCATGGTCAGTAAATTCAATGTTCTTTCAAGGTAGCAAAGCAGAATCACATACCACATCAAGGAGATATATTGAAACTCTCAAGACAGTCTCCATGGCTGTATCCTCCCGAAAGTCTGGAAGCGATACTGCCGCTTCAGCCTTCAACGATTCAAGGTATCTGCCTGATTTGGAATCTGGGACTACTAAAACATTTCCTGGCGAGAAATCGAGCCCACCACATTTGTCTTGGCTGGTTGATTTGTGGTTTGCAAGCAATGCAAATGAGTTGCATCGAAAGGCGTCTTTGAGTCTAGCTTCTAGATTCGCTTTTTGATTGAAATAGGCAGTGACCATCTTACTGAGTTCCATCTGGGCATTCGGGGTATATCTGAAGCTCCACCTGTCGTATGTTAGGCTTTTGAGCTTTCAATATCTGCCCAAAGGAGATCACGTTACCTGTCCAAGTGATCCGTAATTAAAGTGGTTGACTCCGTGTGTAACGCGACTCGCATTCTGAGATCTGACAGCATGCGTGTCGTTTGTTGGAGAGATGGAAGCGTGGCCGTGTCTCGGATCAAGTCTATGGTGTCGTCCATTCCGTTGCTGAGGACTGAGAAGATGGTGTCTGCTCCACTGCTATCATTATGTTGTGACACTTCACCTTTTTGTCGGATTGCATCGATATGAATCTTCAACGCCTCTGTCCATCTTTTCATATCATCTTCCAAACGAAGACCCTCTGGCTGGACGTCATGTGTGTCATGCGTGCCGTTGACGTCGTGCAAGATCTGCTCTAGCTTTCCAACCAGCTCTTCACAGCGGTCTATGTGGCTCTGGTGGCAAACACTCATCTTCCATATATTTCTTCTTTCCGTAAGCGTGGGACTCCGTATTGTAGACGTTTGGAAGAAAATTTTGTTAATAGGATCGGCACGTGTCGGTGTGATAGCATGCCAGATTGTCCAGCCACAGCTGATAGTCACGGAAAGAGTGCATGTGAAAGCTGCCAAACAATCGAAATTTCATTTAGTTTTCTCTGTCAATAGCATTTGCGCAAAAACGATGGGAGAAACAGAGTCCACTTTTGGTTAGTCTGGTTTAATCACTTAAGTAGTGGATAGTAGCCATTGAATCGCTCAGCCCCGCCGTGTGTAGCTAGTACCAATTAGCACAAGCAAATCATAGCTTTCACAAAGTACCAAGTACCTCCACCAGTCTCTTTGAAAGGGAAAGGAGAACTCGTGGCGCAAATTAGCCGGCCAGAAGATGACGAGGCCCTTTCGAAGGATCAAGTTAAACAACAGCCACTTTCCATGCCCTCTCTTCAGCTAGGGCATTCGCATTCGCGTGAGTCCAATGTAGAGGAGGTACGGCAGGCAGCAAAGCACAGCCTGATCGTCTTTCTAGCTCTCGGTCCGTCTTACTTACCAGCTAATACATGTTATGGAAGCCTCACCCAGAGCCCTGTTGTCGTGCCTTCTTTGCCTGTAAAATCCCTCACAGGTGTGGGCCTGCAGCGTTTTGAACGATCGTGGTATTCTCTTTCTTTCAAGATAACGAAATTAAAACTCGTCGACCCTGCCAGCCCCACCGATATTCATTGGCTGTCATGTCGTTTACATGTAAGCGCATATCTACGTCGGCATCAACTATGCATGGAACATTCCTTTGAAGTTACATCTAGTTCGGGGAAGGATTCTGCATGCAGCCCCTTGCTGTAATACTTGTCGGTAATTGGATATTCGTTCAATATACTGGGCACTGTGCCGTATGATCATTCAGGATCTGGTTGCTGAGATAAGGTTTTCCCAAGTAATGGAAAGTCCCGCTTCCCCTAACCTTGGACCTCATGCAGCGGTGCCAGGGGACTTCTTGCAGCAGTGCCCTGGCACCGCCCCCATCTCCCAACGAGGCTGGGATTTGGGCATCATGAGACCTACATATTATCTCTAGATCTTGGAATGTTTAGAATTGAATCCTGTCAGTTGGCCATAATTTACTTCTGGTTGTCTATTTAGTGTTGAGATTCAATGGAGAACATTGATTTGGAACCACCCGTTGTGCATTCTCGAAGATCCAGAAGGTTGATTACCCAGTTCCACGGTTTCGGAGACGATCTCACTGTCACGGAAACCAATAGTCCATGGGATAACCTCCAAGGCAGTCTCTCTACTAGGAAATCTAGACTTCCAAATCGAAGCCACGATGCTAAGGCAGACTTGGTTCCCCCGGAAGTGAAAGATCACCTTGGTCTTCTTTCGACAACGTAAGTTCTATTGATTTGAAGCATTCTCTACAACCTCTTCTACGCAAAACAATTCTACACACTGCTGATCAACCGTCAGTGCTCTTGTACTGAATAAGATAATTGGGACCGGAATATACACATCTCCGAAGATCGTCTTGGCAGCCACTGGAAGTAAAGGAATAAGTCTCATGTTATGGCTTCTAGGTGGCGTTATGACCTGGGCTGGGTAAGATGGAATACATCTCCTACCAATAACAAGTGCTCACCAATCTACAGCATATTCATATACATAGAATACGGAATACGATGGCCAGTAACCGGAGGTGAACTCTACTATGTATGTTCTGAATCTTTCTCGGTCGGAAAAATATACTTACTGCTCTCTCTAGATCGAGAATATATTCAAAAGACCTCCGCGGCTCCTTACGTACATATTTTCCAGCATTTTCGTTGTTGTCAACGGACTTCAAGTCAATGCATTGGTCTTTGGCCAAGAGATCATCGTCGCAAGCTCGCCTGTCAATGCGCCAATTAACCAGAACCTGCAAAAGTTCTTCGCCATTATAATTGCAACATTCATATGCCAGTTGCAGGCCTACTCGAGGTTTCTTTACATCAAACTCGGTAACACCTTAGCCGTGGTGAAAGTTGTTGCTCTTCTGTTCATAGTTATTTGTGGATTGGCTGCGCTCGGGAAAGCGCGAGTTACAGGAGCAAATGAGATTGAAACCTCCTATGGGAAAGCAGACTTGAGCAATGCTTTTGCTTCTGGTTCCGGAAATCCGTACCAGTACGCGCTTGCACTCTTGAATGTCATGCGAGCGTTTCTGGGTTACGAAAACGCAAATTTTGTAAGGATTGTTGGCACTATCTGTAGTCTTGTTTCTAACCACATTTGATGCTTCTAGGTTTTGGAAGAAGTCCGAGCTGGGCCTCCCGGCGATGAGAGGCGGATATTCCGTCGAGCAGTAAAAGCGAGCGTTGGGATCTGCATTTTCTTATATGTGATGGTGAATGTTGCAATTGTAAGTGTAGAGTAAATCCCAATGCAGTGGAAAAATTCAGGCCATTGAGTCTTACTAACATGCTTCAGTTTACAGTTTGCACAACTGAGGAGATAATAAACACACCAAACACAATCTCACTCTTCTTTCAGAAAGTAATGATCCATCAGGCAGTAATCGCACTTGGAATTCGTCACTGATACTTTTCAGGTCTTTGGAGTCTCCGATCATGCCCATGTAGGATCGGCAATCATGATTGCAATATCTGGGACAGGTTCCATGATAGCTTCGACATTCGCAAATGTTCGGGGTAAGCTCTTCCATCCTTGAATTCATCCCCACATTTGGGTCATACAAAAGATGAAATGAAATCTTTCCGACTTACTGAAGGATACTGTATCTAGTCAAACAAGAGATTGGCCGACTGGGCGTACTACCAATCCCAGAGTTCTGGTCAAAAACGTCTCATCGTCGCACACCTGCTCATTCCCTGTTTCTCCACTGGATTTTTAGTGTAATCCTGATTGCCGTTACGCCTCTGGATAACGCAGCAGGCTTTCTGATAATGAGTACCTTCTGGACCTATATGCATACTTACATTGGCAGTAATGAGTACCCCCTCTCCGGACAAGAAATTATTTTAATGATTTAACAGTTCCATTGGGTCTTGCTCTTCTCTGCGCGCCGTGGATCTCAGCTTTCAATTTCGAGGGCGGCCGTGTCTGGAAACCTCAGAGTTCAACGATGGGCTGGTGGCTCCTTGCTCCTCTTACCGTGATCTACGTAGCCTCCAATACCTTCGTGCTCGCGGTCTCTTGGATCCCTGCAAACCTACAACAAACAACTCATTCCACGGGAAGTAATCTTCCGTATTTTACAGGTCCGGTTGCCGGTCTCGGGGTTATCGCTTTTGGGATCAGCTGGTGGTGTTGGGATCTTCACGTTCTGCCGTTCCTGGGATACAAGTTTTGGACTGAAGAGGATGAACTAGAATACAGTGAGGAATGGAACGTAAAGGTCCTAACTGTTCACTTCCACGTTAGTATTGCTTTCTCCATGTTCTATGATACAAATCGGGTCGAAACTGACAGTTTCGCAGCGTCAGCTTGATGGCTTTGCGAAAGCAGTGAAGAACTTCTTCAATCCAGCATTTGTTTGGCTGTGGGAGAAGTTCGAGTCGCGAGAGGATGTTTGAGCTTGTTCAGTAGTAGTCCTGTATATTTACCTCAGACGGACTTCGAACACAGCATTGAGGATAAATCACGGACGGAGATTGAGTTGATTGAATTATATTGCAAGTACAACAAGGAAACGGCATGTAGCAAATCTCCCAGAGGTGTTGGAGGCTAGCCGAAAAGCTTGGAATGGGAAAACCTATTAGAAAGTTATTCTAGACTCTGCGACAATCCACAGCGATGTACCTTACCTTGCCCATGTTCCCTCCGTATGAGAACACATCTTTTAGGTCTCCGCCAGCCTCACCATTTCCTCGAGCTGTTGCAACGGAGTATGAACCAACCACTTCTCATCCATGAATCCCTTGAGCCTTCTCATCTTGAGAACTCGGTACGCATCATCCACGACTTGCTCTGGGACTGTCTGGCCCACAACTGTCCTTGGAGTCGTCAAGATCCGTTCTCTTCCATGTAGAATCCTGAAGTTGTCCCAGATATAAAGATCTCCAGGTTTGAACAAGACATTGAGCTGATGTGTGTCGCGGCGCATAATTTCCTGAAAGGCTCGATATGCAGTTCTAGCTTCGGCGAAAGTATCATATGGTGATAGCAGTGAGCCGGCGAGATGAGGATGCCAACGAAATCTCTTGACGTGATCTGGCATACCTGGCTCCATGGTTATAGCTGTGTCGACGGTGGCTTGGTATAGAGGTGGGTCGTAGAAGTCTGCGACCCGGCCAATGACCATAGGAACACTCTTAAGGTACTTGACAAGTTCAGGAGCTTCGGAGTTGAGAGTTTCAAGGGCAGCATAGCATGAAACGAAGGTGTTTTGACTTTCGCCTTCCAATGCATATAGGCCTTGGACTCGGCTTGGATGAATATAGTGAGCGTGGTCGGCATGCGGAAGAAGTGCCTTTATGGCATTGTAATTGGGAAGATTAGCACCTCGTTTTGCATCTTCTTCGTGATGTGAAGATATATTGAACGTCTTTTCAGTTCCCCGGATCGGATGCAGAAACACACTCCCAAATAGTTGCTTTAGAACTCGCATTACGAATGTATTCTCCTTTTGCCTTTCATCTTCTAGATTTGGTTCTGGAAGGTCAATCACCTTAACGATCCCAGCGGATGACTTTTTCAAAATAGCGTCATAAATTTGCTCTTTCGTTGCATTAGATGTATCTGAATATGGGTCTTTGGGGAAGATATCCTTGTATGAGAACTCGAGAATCTTCAAGGTGGTTGGAAGCCATCCGCGTGATGCCTCAAAGGGTGTCTTCTGTTCTGAATCGTGAGGCTTCGCGACCAAAGGAGCGAACGCTCGTAACCATATCGTTGGGAAGCACGAAGTCGACCCATCGTCCCAAGTAACGTCCAAACTTGACCTAAGTTCCTGTCCAGACAGTTTTGTGTTCCTGATTCTTGCAACTGCACCCTTCTGGGTGAAGACATCGATTGCATCTTTCGACGGCCCAGCGTCGACCTGTGCATCATGAAGCCATTGTGCATGAAATGTGAAGGTAGTATCAAGAAAATCAACCGTAAGTGCTTCACTGGATGATGATACTTGGAATCCAGTAACAAGGCTGCCGGATACTCTCTGCGTTTCTGTATCTTGTGGACTATCCCCAGTCGACATGTTGAGAGCCAGTGATTGGTATTTTCTCGGCAGTATTTGAATCTCCAAAGAAACTGATGGAAATATAGCAATCTAGATTTATGCTATGAACAATTAAAAGAAAAGCACTCACATACTGTCAGATGAGTCTTGTGGAGATCAGAATCAACCGTGAGGCTCCGGAAAAATAGCGGGGTAAGGTTATAGGGATGTATTCTGCGTCAAGCCCTCATGTCAATTAGAGCAGGCTTGACCTGTTGGTATTGATCCATGCGACAACAACAACGAGGCACTTTAGAGCCTCTCGCATATGTCGCAAGCTTATTTAATTTCATTTCTAAGATTGCTATCTCGTCCAATCAACTCGTGGCAGACTGATGGGGCCGCAGTTGTCAGCTGTTGACGCATAACGCCCAACATGTTGTGGACGCCCTGCTTGTTATATAAGGCTTGCATCAATTTCAGCCCGCAGTAAAGTACGGATCCGAAAAGAGAAGGAGGATAAATTCGGAACGAAGCAGGACCGCCAAGGCTTGCATATCACACGAGAAAGTCCTGCAGCACCATCCATTGAACCAAATGTAAGTCAGCCCGTGCGATGCACTGTTTGCGCCTCATCACTGCAATGACCAAGTATCTCGCAATCATTACTTGGGGGTGACAACCAGAGCCTTATCATGTAGGGCGAGAAAGAAAAACAAACTCGAACACTGTCGCCGCCATTGCTCGGAACTTTCACGAGGCTGTCATGCGGGGTGTTACAATTAGTTCTAACTTAGAAGAATAGGATATTGGAAGACTTAATGTGGTATCTACGTGGAACATCAATGCAAAGAAGTTGGCAGGATCATTGAGGATGGTCTAGTTGACAAGTCTACTGCCACGATGAAGGATTGTAGGCGTTCATTAATCCCACGTACTCGGGACCTGCCTTTGCCCAACCTTTGATGCCGCCTTCAAGAATATCGCTTTCCATTTTGACATCATTCTGATGTTTGATGTAATCTGCAAACCAACTTGCTGCGCGAGTAGCACGACCACCGGAAGAACCTGAAGGAACTTTAGTTTAGCTCTTCAAAGTTTCCATTGGTCAAGGCTACAGGAGCTGAGGTTTCAGGCTTACCACAGTACCAGATCACCGTCGGTATTCCTGCGCTTGAGAAGAGATTGTAAAGTGATGGAATGGTGGGGTAAAGAGACTGCGCGGGGAGATTGATTGACCCCCGAATCGTACCGCCCTGAAAAGACCCGTGTCAAATTTCGTAGGGCTCAGTTTCGGCTGGCCTACAAGGAAAAGACTCACTTCGTAGTCTGCCTTCCGCAGGTCCACAAGAACAAAATCCTTGCCAGCTAGCTTTCCTTCGGTCATCCACGAGAGAAGGGTAATTCGGGTGATGGTGGTGGCAGTGGCCTTGGGCTCCGGGAACTCGGCGTACCAAGGGCTCTCTACTTCAGAGTTGGACATTTTCAGTACGTTCGTAGCGTTTCGATCAAGAATACAGAAGAGATGTGTGAAGACGATGGAAGAAAGCGCAAATCCCACCAGTAAATGAATTCTGATATTTTGGATGCACGAACCGAAGTCAGTACATGTAGAGGACGGCTGGGTATGTGATCTGCCTCTGTGGTGGCTTACGCATTGCAGGAATAAGTTGTCGTTGTTGCTCGGCAAGCGACAGGCGGGGGAAAACGATTCGTCAGCACTGCTTTCCGGGCTATACCCAGCAAATTTGATCGAATGCAGAGTATCTCCGATGCAGGCAGATTTATGCTGCCCTTTCCCCACGCCTAGTTGTAACACAAAGTGCTGAGAGATATATTACCAAATGCCATTAGGTGACGCTAAAGCTCGGCTAACTCTAGCGCCTCGCTTCGGGGCTTTTGGCCTTTAGGGGGGTGAATTTACCCTCCGTCCTCTCAAATAACAAATCCTCGGTGCATGAGTTTGAAAGTTTTTGGATGACACAGAGATCCAGGTAAATACTTATACAGATCAGAACAAGTCGCATATGAAATGTGAAACGTTTCTTAAAGTAGTCTAGCAGGGTGCAGGGAGAAGCGTGCACCGTGTCCCTGCCTTCGCAGGCTCATTGCCTTTGTTTTTCCCTTTGTCTTTTTTTGGGGGGGGCAATCGGATATCTGTAAACACGCGCTAGTACATTGTTCTTCCTCCATCTAAAAGGACCAATTTATGCTTGGATGGTGTCAAATCGATTCGAACTTTTGTGCTGGCTGAATCTCCCTCCATCAGCGATCGAGTCATCTGTGAAATTCAAATTCAGCATTTTTTCGTAACTCCGAGAGGGATCAAATGAAGTCACCTGATCGATGTAGGAGTATCTTGGTGAGTCGAAGCAAATGTTGTGTAAAGACTGGCAGTGTGAATAGCTCGGCCTCGAGTCTATATAAGCACTCCTGGTCACCACTCGACATACTTATTTAACCTCCGTGAAACAACATCTCCATATCGAGTCCATCTCAACCTCAAAACTCCACTCACAATTGAAGCATCTTTAAATCTCTCAACATGAGCACTAACAACACGCCAGGGACTAATGTGCCCACTCCAAGGATTGTGCCTTTCCGCTTGGCGTTGCCCTACGACGGTGATCCAAAACCCTTCACACAGCTTACACATGAGATCAAATGGACACCAAGCCCACCGCAGATCGGCACTCTGATTGAGGACATGGCTTATCTACCAAACGCAAAAGACCACGACTTAGAAGAATTCCTCCGGGATCTCCTAAAAGCAAAATGCTCCGTCGACATTGGTCACCGAGAAGAAAGTGGTCAATGTAGAGGCCGACTAGCTCTCGACTGGCAATGCTTTGATCATAATGAAGAATGGTATGAAGGGGACATAGGTAAAGATATGAGGGAAATATTTCGTCGGATGTTCAGGCTGGGACTTAGAGAGCTTGTTCTGGTTATTGGACAACTAGAAGTTATGGAGCTCGTCAAACAACAGGACCCAAAGAGCTTCATCCTTGTCAGGCCAGATATAGACGGCACCTACGCCGAATTCGAGGATGACTGTTACGAATGGAGAAATTTTCTGAGAAAATCCAATATGGAACCTTGGGAAGGAGAAAAGACATTTCAAGAGGTGGAAGAAGGCATCAAAAGAGCAATAGCTGGTTCAGAGAGTGCGTGGCGCGATTTTTGCGGACCAGAAATTGGTGAGTCATTCTTCTTGACTTGAGAGAGAATTTGGAGTAATAATTATCTAGGGCGCATGGACCACGAGACTTTCTACAGATTTTACAAAAAGTGGATATGCGGCAAGGGTACGGAGGAGGAGGCGTTGAAAATCGCATTCATGGAGCTTCGAGAAGCATGATAAGGGTTAGAAGATTGGATTTCGGTATCTCTCGAGTCCGAGGCGCAGTCGTTTTTGTCTGGACGGTTGTCTTGCTAATGTGAAGTGTTCTTTGACGTTGATCGTCAAATACCGTGCGTAAGTCAATAATACAGGAAGTTTATTCACTTCCAAAGACTGCTCAAAGATGCTCAATGTATAAAGTGAGTCTCAAGTTTCGTGAGATCTCAACTCAACCTACCTCGCATACACTCCCGCTGCACGTCATATGAACACCAAGTTCGAAAATAATCCATCTATTCAAATCAATATAGCTGCCTAGCTGCTTGGCTCGCCGAAGTCCCCCATCGACTTTTTCGCTTTTGCAGATAAGCTATCAAGCCTTGAGTGTAGTGTATCATGCAGGCAGCCACTGAACATGGCGACCGATTCAATCTGTGAAAGAATAGCAACTCTTTTGGTGAGCTCTTAAGGTCTGTATCAATGAGCCGAGCAGCGCGACGTATTCAGGAAAGGCACAAGCTTTCAAAAGACAGTTGAGAAAGCAAAGAGTTTACCCATTCTTCGATGGTCTCAAATCTCCCAAAAGGATAGAAGTGGGATCGATCTTGACTGGATGCATCGGATTCATTTGGGTTTTTGACCAACACAATTGCGATGAATAATCGGGCCCAAAAGTGGGCTCGTACGCCATCTCTCCGCATCCATGCACTTGCATGTCAATTGTAAGACGTTACGCCGTGTGACTCGTGCGGTGATGGTAACATCGGCTACCGGTATCTGAACGTCTTCAAAGGCTGGCAGTCTTTTGAAGTCTGATTTCGTAATATCTGCAGACTTCGAATTTCAAAATGCCAGTCTCGGGAAATCTCGGCGCTCCAGCTTCTGCAAGTCTGTTGGAACTATCCAATGATCAGCTCTTCGTAGCATTTATATCTTCCAAAAGCCCAACGACAAATGAAGCTTGGTGTCCCGATGTGCGCGCAGTCCTGCCAATTCTCAACGCTGCATTTTCGGGACCCGACACGCCAGAATTGGCATTCATTGAGGTTGGCCAAAAACCGGAGTATGCCAATGTCCAAGCCCCCCTCTCAACCTGCTGACAACTCATGTTGCAGGTGGAAAGGTCCCAATGTATATAGAGCCAACTGGAACGTCAATGCTATCCCAACCTTGGTGAAGTATGAACGCGTGGATGGAGAGGTGAAGGAGACAGGACGGTTGGATGAGGATGGGATAAAGGACGGGAAGAGTCTGCACAGCTTCATTAGCGAGTAGGACATCTGGGCTCAGATGAAATTGTGAGGCGGCAGAGAGATTGATGCGTATGTGAACTAGCCATTTCAGCAGTAATAAGTTTCCTCAACCAGATGTTGTACAAGCATCCAATTACTTAGATTCGTGAGGCTTCAAGTGTGATGACTAAACTCCCGTGATTTCGCGGGGTAGCCGACCCCTCACCTGAACCTCTCGCCATCAACTTTCTTCTCACCTATATATCCTAGACATGAGGTATATCCATATTGGCAAAGCACGTTCTTATTGAATGGTTCTGTAATAGCTTCAAATTTAGCTCCGTCCTTGATGTCACTTAAGACATACCGAATGATATCAACGTTCCCGTTGGAACATGCTTTATCCAAAATCAGGTAGGATGCAGATTTCTACTGTTCGGGAAGGGACGGCGGCGGAGATATTGAATTGACGAGATTTTGGCGGAGCGCTTTCCTAGAGGCCAGTAGATTTCGGCGATAGTCTTGGACTGCTTCATCGCTGCTGAAAGAATCGAGAAAGTAATGACCGGACGCGGCGCAGCATTCTCAACAGTTCAAACTCGCCGGTGCCGGCAGCAAACGTACCAAGCAGAAGGAGACACAAAGTCCTGTCCATCGCACCCAAGAATACGACGATTCTTGTCTCGCAGACAATGAAGTGGACGAAAATAAAAAGACCGTTTGAGAAGCAAACTGTTCTCGATTTCGGAGACTCAATCGCGGATCGGTGAACAAGAGTTGGCAGATGCGAGGCACTCCCATTACGTTTGGCAAGAGGTTATGAAGATACTCTGCACTGATTATGAGATTCTAATTTGTCTTCAATGTTTTCTCCAATATATTGTAACTATAACAGAAGCTGCTTTGCTACTCCTAGCATTCATACAGCAAGTCAGGGTTGTAAAGTACTGCCAGAGCGGATCATGTGTACCGTACCTTCTTATCACCTTCCCGAAGCAGTGTCAGTCTGTAAAAACCAGATCAGCCAGGTGTTGGATAGCTTCGTGTGAACGGAGGGGCTCATTCATTATTTCGTAACGATTTTGCAACAGAAGAGCAAGTGTAGAAATGAGGAGGGTCTTGAGGAGTCTTGGCAACATTGTGGCTAAACCTTAACTGAACCGCGGTTCGCAAGCAAATTCAAAGCTAAAACTCAAAGCTAGATATTCTTGATGTCCGACTTTGAACCAAATCCTGTAGGAAGCCAAATTTTATCTCTGGATGTCTCTGCCAATAAAGCCGATCTGCCAGTGAAGCTACTGACCTGGGACGTGCCACGTAAAGATGCTAAGTGAACTAATTCTTCAGGAGAACTTGGTAACTCCCGTCCTTCCTCTGATAATATGGCGAAAAGAAATCTCACTCAGTCTCCGTTCCTATAGTATCTTCCATCTAAGTATGAATGAACTTCTCCCAACCCAGATAAAGGTCAACACCCTCCTTGTTGCCTCTGATATTCAGTGGCCCTCCAGCTCTTGCGTCCTCGAGACTGCCTGCAAGTAAAAAAATCAGTGATTGTGTAAAGGCCCTGGGGAAGATATAAGATACCTGAGCCAAATTGCTGTTCAGCTTCTTGCGCAAGTCTAGTAGCTAAGGTCTCGACAGCTGCTCGGAAGTCGAGCTCGGGAAAAAGGAGCGCAAGGATCGCTGAAACCGTGAATGTGAAACACAAGACCAAGCTGATAGAGGCTGTGTTGAGCCTCATGACCACTGTGATGTTAGGAGAAGCATCTTATATCTCTATGATAAGGATCCTTGCTGACGTTCACCGGCTTGACAGATCGGACGGGTGAATGAACATGGCATTCGTGCAACTGTGGGGTCAGCAAAGAACTTCGAGGAGTTGTTTGAACGACGAAGACGACTTTGGTGTTGGTGTTGAGCAACTATGTAATCTCCTGTTGGGTCGTAGATCGGACTGGGGACGGTTTGTGGTTATGTGGAAGTGGTGGCCATTGGATAGAGCGGGGCCTTTAGAGAGAAACCATGAGGCTCGAGCTATGACACCGGATCAAAAGAAAGAAGAGCAGATAGGAAGCGATAAGTTGATAGCCAATAAAGGTAAGAGTGGCCGCGATTGGCTGATAGCCTACTTCGGGACTTGGTACATTACATGACCGATTACTGAAGAAGGGAAGGAAGATCCAAACGTCTCTTAGTATCCGAATCTAAATACTGTGCGTGGAGAGCGCTAGGCTACTTGGGTCATCTCATAGCGAGAGAAATGCGAATAGCTTGTATTTGAGCATTTCGATCTTGAATGATGTTTGTTGTAGAGATGACAGACATTGACGTGCGCAAGTCGCAAGTCCCTTGACTCCTCTACCGCCACCCAGGGCTATAAAGCAGTAAATTAGAGTTGAAAATTCCTATTTAGTGGATCTAAGGTCTACTTTAACTAATTCATCCTTCCTTCCTGTTACACAAACTCTACCAAAGCTTTCAAGGATCCGCGGCCGCACAATTCGATCTCCTGATATCGCAACTCATCTGCTCCCCGATCTTTGCCATTCTCGACTCCAAACAAACAGAATACACAGAAGAGAATTCGAGATACTCCCCAGCAGATCGGAAGATCTGATTGAAGATCGCTTGCCCCGACGTCGAAGAGTGAAGTCGAACCCTCCCCCCCCGGAAAAAGAGAGCACCCGAAGCTAAGGCTGAGATTTCGCAAGACGCTAACCCCAAGCGAAACATGCACGTATAGGATTAAATAAGGATTTTTCATGCCATGATGCGACTCGGGCTTGGCCTGGGGTTAATTCATGGTTCAGAGCAAAACTAAGACCCTGCAGTTGAGGATAAGTGCATTAAAGGACTGATGTAGCTGCTTAAGACTAGGGTCCAACTCCCTTACTCACTCGAGGGGGGCCAACGTGCCCTCTGGTTACAGGACCCATCGATCGAAGCTTCCTCTCTGCTTAGAAATGGGTTTCGACCTACCTTTTTGTCGTTTTCGTCTATTCAAAAACTTTTTTTTTGAGGTTTTTTTCGCTTTTCGTCTTTTGTTTACATGTACATTTTTTTGTGCTCGCTTAACGCGTCCATACACACTCGATGAAAGTAAATGCGGCCGCTCAAAATTCAGAGGCATTGCTTTTGTTTACTTTGCTGCTTCGATACCTGATTGGAGACGCGTCTGAGAAGGAATGATATACATTCTATTTAGAGGATCCGCCGCACTGTTTCAACATCTTTTATGAGCCCACAGACTTTGCACATTCCAAAATGAGAAGCTGAGCACAGATGCTAGATTATATGATGCTTAAGCTGAAGATGAATTGTGAGAGTGAATGTCAACAACTCAAAAATGAAGCAATTCACTTCAAAAGATTGAGCCAGTACTTTACTCATTTTCCCATATTCACTTCTTTGACCGCTCCAAAGTGTGTTAAACTTCATTCTCGCGCATTTTAAATAAGCTTAGAGTCTTAAATAGCATTTTTCATCTTCTTTTCGCGCAATGTTGACGTCGAGGATGGACCCACAAATTAGCCGAGAACTCCCTATCACGTGGACTCCACTTCTATTCTTCCTCCACTGCTTGGATTGATACCTCTAGGACTTTTGCAGCGAGGCACCAATCGAAAGCTACTCATTGAAAAGCAGATTCAAGATATTCTAAAGCAGATTGAGAACCTAGATTGCCGCGCGATAAAAATTGAGAATTGCACGAACCACTTTCAATTTTATGAAATTTGCTTCATTTGAGCACCACTATTTCATAACCCAGGAGATTGATAGAAAGTTGATACTGGTTGCAACTTTTAAGTCTTGTATCAAACATTCAGTGTCACTAGACCTGTGACTCTCAAACAAACGAATTATATTAACACCATGTTCTATATCCGTATCCATGCAAAGTGCCAAACCTTATTATGTCTATCCCCCTCCTCCAGCAGTGACAACCACCGAGTCAAGATACACAGCATCCCAATTATTTCTCCAGGATGAAAACTGAGGGGCACACCATGCTCCGATAGTTACCTCCAGGCTTAAAGATGACAAGTCCGTGTTTGGGAACGTGAGCTGTACCGGAGACCACGAATACTCCGGATCATCGCCAAAGAACAGATGCTGGGGTCTTCCGCACAGAGGAGTTCCAGCTGCAGGGTAAGCACAAATTTGTGCGAAACACTGTTCGGAGTTGTAATCGTCACTGGTAGCGTACATGGCGAAATCGTAAGTTGCACCTGGACAAACGGCCAAGGTTTGCGAGAGCGTCACAGGTACAGTGTCGTGTTGTCTTCCTTGCTGGAACTGAATTGCACTGTATGATTGTAAGCAGAAGAAACGACGAAGCGGAGTAAAAATCTCACATGCTGTTTTCTCCTGTGTAGGAGTATTCTATCCCATCACCATCGCTATAGCCATTTCCGATTGAAATGTAGTTGGGATCAAAAGCTCCAGGTGTCCATCCACTGTAGTCTCCTGTTTCGAAGTCACCATTCACGATAGTTGGCACTGCTGAGCATGCTGGGGCTGTTGCATAAGCAGTTACCACAACCACTGCAGTCTACTGGAGTCAGTTTGCATAATCGGAAAGAGGTGAGGCTTGCTTACCTGGTAGTTGATAATGGTAGACTGCTGGGTCTGGATATCTATAATGGTAGATACTTGAGTCTGGAGGAACCTTAGCCTCTATCTTTTTTGACATGAAGTAAGCTTACCTGAACCTCCACAACGATAGATTCTTGGGTCTACATAGATCGATTAGCCCTCGCCGACGGTCACAATGAAAGGAGATACAAACTTGAGCATCAATAACAGTAGATTCTTGAGTCTGGGAGCGAAGTTAGCAATCTTAATCTTAGAAGTATGATCTGATGGAAGGTTTACCTGAACATCAACGACAGTAGCCACTTGAGTGACTTCTATTGTTTACACTAGTACTTCATTCGAGATGAGGCAAAAAATGAACCAAAGCTAGATGGGAGCATCATGACTTACGAACTTGCTCCGTGACAATCTGCGTCACGGCAGCTTCAACGGTATTCACTTGGGTAACCTCTGCGACTAAATTAGCTTAGGCCTTCTATCATCGAAAACAAGCAACTGAGGTTAAAATTGCTCGGAATGACCAGGTTTCAGCGTAGATTGATTCATGTACTTACGAATTTGCTGTGTAATAAACCGAGTGACATCCTCTTGTACGGTAGAAACTTGCGTAACCACTGAATCTATGTCAATTCCGATTCTTCATTTCATGACCAACAAGGATACTCACGGTCTTGAATTGTCACATCTTGAGTGATATCGTTCTCCACAGTTGAAACTTGCGTGACCTCTGAACTTGTGTCAGTTCTTATCTTTTCTTTCGTATCTGCAAGAGATGATGCTCCACTCACGAGCTTGCACAGTCACAACTTTGGTAACATCATCTTCCACTGTAGAGATCTGTGTATAGACTTCTTGCACAGTTGAGAACTGTGTGACATCGGCTTCTATAGTTACCTGCTGTGTAACGTCATCCTCAACGGTTGAAATTAATATCAAAATCCCATTTACTGTTGAGAAGTCGGTGACATCGTCTACAACAGTCGACAGAAGCGTGGTTATAGGGACGATAGGGACGACAGGGGCCGGAGTTGTCGTGCTTGAATAGGTGGCAGAAGCAGAGCTTTGAATTGTGCTTGCTGCTGCGGTACTGCTCAAGTCAGGAGAGTTTGGCTCTGATGTCGTGGTGCTGACAGCCGCATTATTCGGGCTTGAACTGCTTGATGGAACACTTGATGTAGTTTGAGCCTCGGAACTAGAAGCTGGTGAGGAGGAGCTGACGGCCGCATTACTAGAAGTCGTCGATGCTGGTGTACTCGCATTTTCCACGGAAGAAGTGCTTGGTGAGCCCTGATCAGGATTCGCAGCTGTGGAAGAAGACGAAGATGACGAATATTGGGCCGCGTTTGAAGAGGCCTCGATCTGAGATGAAGATTCGCTAGAAGGGGATGACATAGAAGAGTATGCCAGACTGGAAGAGAGTCCACATTGATAGACGGTATTGGTTACAGTCTCCTGCAACTCAGTGGTGATGAATATCACGCTGGTGGGGTAAATCGTAGAAGTGACAACGGACAACGTCAGGGTGACTGTCGGGCAGATGTCAGATCCATCATCGCGGTTATACAAATTGAGATCTGCATCCTAATCACATACGTTAGTACCAACGTACGACCGGCCTCTCCTTGGATTCTTTACTGCCTCGTATTGTGACCTTCGAGACAGGTCGCGTGGAGCACCCAAAGCGCAAGAAACGAACAAAAGAGTGACGATGAAATGCATCCTAACGATGCTAAACGAGTGACTACAACGACAACGTTGACAAACAAGAAGGGAACAGGATAAACAGTGGAAGGACTGGAGAGAAAATTGAATGTCAACTCGACATATACTACGACATGAGACATAACATCTCCACAGGTTCGAGAGGTAGAGAGATTCGATGGTGCCAAGACCATTGGAGGCTGAGGCTTGATCGAATGTATGCTCCTGTCTCACTCACTCCGAGGACTTCTTTTGAAGCAAAATGTTTCGTCGACAACCGATGTGCTCCTTGGAGTGATGAAGTCAATGGCAACAGCAATGCTCCAACTGCAAGGAAACAGCCACATAGGATCTAGGCCTTGGAGAGCCTCGGTCGTGTAGATAAGCACATGTCGCAATTTGGTGAACGGATTTGTGGCTTGAGGCAGAATGGTGCGTGCCATAAAGAAAATATTCGGAGAATGCAGGCCAGTCGGAGACGCAATGTTTGTCGCCAAATCTCCCCTTAAAAGATCCATATAATAAAAAAGCAACAAGGAGAAGTCGCTCGTATACGATGAGACATATAATGGTGGAGGACAAGCTTCGCCAAGGGGGAAAAAGCAGTTCATAAAAGTTGATGCGTTGGGAAGGAGCTTTTCCATCACAGCGAGAAAAAGCTTATTTATGTGGAGTGTGCCCATTGTCCCCAGTCGAGAATGAACCATTCAGAATGTCCGAAATATGAAAGATATTGAAGTTCGAATTAAACGCGGAAGAAAGGAGAAAACTATCGTCGGTCGCCATTACATAAACAGCTTTTACTGTAACCGAATGTGGGTGAGACTTCTCCACGGCCTCACTCTCAGGTGGTTTATTTTATTCTCTAACAAGAAGTTGTATCATGTCTCGTAGATGTCCCAAAACGTCGTTCATTTCGAGTGATACGCTTATCGAGGTGATCCTGGCAAAAGACATCGCTAAGTTCTGGGTATCAAAATAATCATACAAGTACAGGCACACGTTTGGCAATTGCCAAAGATCATGGAGCTTCCAGGTATGTCCCTACCAACCAAACCAACGAGCAACCAGCCAAAGCCCATGCTCCAATAGCCTTCTTGCCCCACCACTTATCATCGACTTCCACTTTCGAAGCTCTGATCCTCTGGGGTGTATAAGCCTCAAACAGTGGGTGGGCTGTGCTAGAGTTCTCGCTCTCAGCAGCCGCAGCATCTGCTTCGTCGGCTCTCTTCCTTAGCTCAGCAATCTTCTTTCCTAGAGCGAGGATATCTTCCTTCCATTCTGTGGCATTCCCTGCATTATCAACCTCCACATTCTGCACGTTTCCGAAGAAATCCATCACCAGTCTCTCCCTCCCGCCTGGCTCGCCTCCTGGGAATAAATCCCATCTGACTCCAGGATGTGAATGGATCTTTGACTCATCATAACTGTCAAATAGATCGCCAAGTGTCATCTTGCTGCTTGGCTCCCTGACTTGCGTCTCCAAGAAATCCAAGTTGTAGTATGTATATCGATCAATGACTGCGACTCCGACATCATTGTCCGCATGGTGGGAATAAGATGATTGATCGATTTCGGAGGATCCAGTAGCAATAATATTCGGCGAGTAGAATTTGCTGTACATCGTATTTGCTTGACATGTATCGATCATAAAAAGGATTTCGTGATATCTGTATTTGTCAGCGTATGTCTCTCGACACCATTAACAAAGCTTACCTCTTCTTCTCCCACATCTGCTCAAAAGCATCTGCCAGATCAAAAGCGCTGATTTCCTCTGCATCCTGAAATTTCAAGAACTCATTGCCTCCGTGCCCAGTCATGTACACCAGGATATTACTCCGATCATCCGTCAACAACCTCTTACTCCTAGGCATCTCCTCTCCCATTCGATCCGTCAATAACCTTATGAAATTCTCCACCGTTACCTCATATCCTCTATAATCAACCTCAATATTGTCTCCATACAGATCTACCGCTCTGTCCGCATTACTATAAACCGTTCCCGGGAAAGCATTGCGAGGATTGCAAGCCATGTCATCGGGAAGCATAAGGATGATCTGCGAATCGGGTATGCCGAGACGCTTCACGGTTCGATAGAGGGATAGGACATTGGCTAGGTGGCGGTAGTTGAACCAGAATCTTGAGGTCGAGACCAGGACTGCCCAGTTGCTTGTGTGTTCTGCGGATACGAACGTAGGAGCCAGGAATGATGCCAGCACCAGAGGCAATTGCAGTAGATTGTTGAGCTTCATTTCGGCGGTTTTGTTCTGAGTGTGAGAGAAGAAGAGTCAAGGGAATGGTACGGGCGTAGATATGTTGTCGAGGTAAGAAATGTTGATGTTGTCCGGAGCTTTCCCCTGAAAGCCGTGTCTTACCAAGCATCGGCTTTAAACACAATGCTATTGCACGTGATGCTCCAGCTCTGAAATTACCTTATGCCCATCGAGGTAGAGTAATGAATTGAATGTTACTCTCAGTCAGATGAAAAGGTATTGTGTTCTATTCGAAATACAATTTTTTCCTATTTTAAGGTATTTTGAAGCGTTGTGATTCAATCATTGATGTGGTCTCGATAGAGTCAAACGCCGCTTTACGCCGCCCAAGCATTTAGCCTAAGGTTCAGTCCTTGCGCTATCACATGCGCATTATCAAGCTTTGATGCCCCGCTACGACACCACGACTGATTTCAACCTTGTCTCATGAAGCTTCAAGCCTCAAAAGACTCCAAGTCGAAGTTTATTCCTCTGGTGTTGATGTGCCAATGTGATGGGGTGGCCACCAGCTGTTATTATTGTCGTCAGGTATGTCATCCTCTTCTTTCTTATGCCTTCTAGCTGCGAGGGGCGATTATGAATGTTTCAACCGCACGGCTGGCTATGCAGGTCATGGATGAAGCCAGCTTGGCAAGAATTGCTTCTGACAGACCTCTAGGCACGGCGCTCGACTTGACGCTGCTGATAAGCAATGGCATCTTACATCTCCTACTCCTTACGACCCTCCATTGACCTACGGTGGATGGACGCAATCGAGAGCGCTGGGTGCTCGAATTGCGAACATCCTGCGAACGCGAGAGACGGACGATGAGATTCCAGTATTCCCTGGGGCAGAGAATGGAGGTAATTTGAGGAAAAGAAGGCATAAAGTGGCCATTCACAGCTCCCCATTCTTGAGATGTGTACAGACCTCTGTCGCCATCAGCGCGGGGCTGGCTCAGAATCCTGGCCATATACAACCCAAAACCTCTGGATCCCCAGCTATCAAAGCCACCCACATAAGCGGCTCTCCAAGAATACGTCCTCTTACTTCCACTGGGTCTCCTCGCCTCGCTCCAATACAAGAGCCTAGCAAGTCCTTGAAGGCAAATGGGAAATCTACACCTCAAGAACAGCCGGAGAATATCAAGAAGTCGACTGTGCGAGTTGACGCATTTCTTGGGGAATGGCTGACACCGGATTATTTCGAGTTGATTACGCCTCCACCGAGCTCAGTGATGATGGTGGCGGGAGCAAAAGCCGACTTGCTGAGAAGGGAAGACTACAGCAATTTGGTACACTTTCCAGATGTCAAAACTACTCAAGGATTTCCAGGCGGATGGGGAAGCCCTGTAGTGATGGCCGACAGGGACAGAGACGAAAGCCCATTACCAAGTCTTTCAAGTCTCGGAGCGGCCCTACCTCGAAGAGACCGAACAAGCAGTTTGAGCAGTGTTGGAAGTGCCAGGAGCATGCACAGTCACAAGAGTGGAGTTAATCTTCAGTTGGCAGCTCCTCCTGAACACGGTATATACATGCCTCCTATACCAAGCTATGCAATTTCCAACGCGGATCCTATTCCACCTGGCTATGTTGCGCATGCGAGAGATGCATGCGTCGATGTTGACTATCAATGGGACAGCATGCGAGAACCTCAAAATTGGGGTACTGGTGGAGAGTATGGCGAAGAATGGAGTCAGATGCATAAACGATTTCGCACTGGAATTCAATCATTACTTGGATGGTACACTACAGCCGACGACCCAGGACGACTCCTCACAAGAATCCCAAAGTCTCCCACCCACCAAGGCACAACTGAGGATGAGGATGCGGAGGATGAGGATACAGATCTTGTGATCATCCTGGTGACGCACGGTGCTGGATGCAATGCCCTGATTGGCGCATTGACAAACCAGCCTGTTCTATTGGACGTGGGTATGGCTTCGCTGACAATGGCTGTACGCAAGCCAACCCCCGTCAATTCTCCCATTTCGTCCCCTGGTGCATCACCAAGACACTCTCGCGTGTCCTCGAGAAATTTCACCATCTCTGATCAATACGATGTCAAGCTTGTTGCAAACACAGAGCATCTTCGTACGAACAGCACATCTTCAATCCCACAAGCGTCAAGAACACCCTCCATAGCAGGGATTTCCGCATTCCGCGAACGCTATGCTGGTGGTTCTCTCGACGGCTCGAACTTCAGCAAATCAAAACCTGGAGTTACAACGTCCTCTGCATTTGGAAGCATTCGTCGAACAGCAACCATCGCCTCCGCGGTGCCCAGATCCTACACCCCAGCAAGGCAATCCTCGATCGGATTATGGAGCGCTCCGTCAGCACAGGAAGAAGACGAAGATGCCGTCGAAGAACCCGAAGATGATATGATCCTGAACTTCGGCGATGATGGAGCCAATGACCTGAAGCGCGAAGACGAGAAAGAAAACCCAGCCGTATCACTTCTGGATGAAAAGATAGGCCCAACACACGCTGTAGAAGAAAAAGAAGACGATGTGGCTCCATTGGGACTTTGGGGCTCACCTAGACCGCCTGGGTATGCCGAGAAGATTCGAGAGATTCGACCAAAGAGGAGATGGACTGTCAATGAGCGCGGTTGATCACAAAAATTGGAATTTCCACGAACCTTTCATTCATTCTTTCATGCATCCATTGCGATAGACACGAACGACGCATTAGATGAGCATCACAGAGACGACCCAACCATTCAAAATGCATTACATCGAGCGAGGGAGTTTTGGCGTAGGTAGGCGGGCTTGAGGATTTTACTTCGCGATCTGGCTTAGGTTGATCTGGGCATTGGGATGCATGGAAAATTGTTGGTAGTATATACTCAACTTCTCACCTAAGGAATGAAAAGAACTCTCTCTCTCTCTCTGACCTACATATGACTTTAATTTCCTGTCGCTAATCTTCTTGACAATTAGCAATTTTATTGACAACAAGACTTTTATTCGCAATGAAAACTCTACACTTTGTAGTAGGATAAGAAAACATAGCCCAGATCAACAAGCAATTGAACTAGAACCAGCTCTCCCGGCTCCCTCTTCGACATCTATGCTTGTTCTCCGCGTGAACCTTCTGTGATACATCGAATTATAATCTTGCCGCGAAAAGATCTGCTTTTATATTCTTTCTTTAAATCTCGATCTGTAAATTTATTTTTTTAATTCGAAAATTCGAAAAAATTATTTTAATTTCCGTTTTATTATTATTTATTTATTTATTGTAGAGGGGGTAAGAACATGAACCAGCAGTACGCGAAAACAACCAAAACAACAACAAGTAGGCACTGCGCGAAGCAGACCACTATTCGCAGTAGTAGAATAGGTTTAAAACATCATAAAAAGCATTCGAAAGCATATTACTGTAAAAACTAAGAGTGGGAGAAGAGTTGTTGTTATTCTAAGAGTGCGCGACCACAATATATGGGAAGCGTCACATGATAAACTAGACCCAGTTGAGTATAGTGCTAGGGAA